AATTGTTTCTCTTTATGTCCATTATGACCATCTTGGCTTTGATTGAACTTAATCGGAGATTTATCAAACAGGATACTTCAGCATTTTCTTTTGCTAAATATACTTCAGCGACATAGTAAGCAAAATCGACTAAAAACAGATAGAGCTCCATCTATACTATCACTAGATTATCAGGAACTTCTGAGACAAACATGACTCCGCCCCTTCTGTCTAAAAGCACCTGTATCAGTCCTGTAATAGTTTGATGTCAATGTACCATCACCATCAGAGCAGTTTTCTACCTTTTTAAAACAATAGTATTGTCCATAAAATAGCTTTGTTAGTTTCTCGGGTGAAGTTCTACTGAAATTCTTGGGAATTTCAAAGTTATCTTTTCCTCTTCTAAAACATTAAATGACAAATTAAATGGTGTCAATATGTTTATAATGGCCAAAAATGTATCCATCATATTTCTTTCATATTTGTGTTGCTTTGTTAGTTTTCTATTAGAATTTTGTTGTGGATTTAAAGTAGGTGCTTTTGTATGAATAAGACATAATGGAAAGTGGCAAATACATCACATTATCATGTCACGTTTGAAGGACTGAAAAAGCTGTTAAAATTATAAATAAGAGCATCAAGTAATAATTCCTCTTTAATTTAATCTTCTCTCAAAATACAGAAGAAGCTTTCGAGACGACAAAATTTTAACGAGCCAGTTTTCCATCAACAGTAGCCTCCATTGTGTGTATAAACTCAATGCATTTATTCATAATTAAGTCTTCTTTAGATTCACTCAGTCTTCTAAACACATGAAACGCCCGGACTATTTTTAGTGAAATGAAATTGTTGAGTTTGTCACCCCCTCTATAAATATCTTTCCCCTTCTGACATTTCTCTTTCAGTTTTATTTTTGTAACATTCCACTGTTGTACAGTATTTTTGCAAAGACGCAACATAAATAACCAGATCACTGCAAATGTAGGGTTGGTTTTTTATGTTGTGGTTTTAACGTGAAGATTAGTGCAACATTCTGGAGTCTCGTCAGCGCTGACGCTGTTTAACTGCGATGCTCTGTTCTACTGCTGCCACTTTATACAGATCACTGTTTTATAAAGGAAGTGTTTTGGGACGTACAGCGCTATTCTAATATTAGAAGGAGGTACATCTGGTTTGTTTTGTTGAAATGGTAGGTTGTAATGAAGACCTCCCAAATCTGGATTTGTTTTGGAATCTCAAATTCACTGTTGAATAATGTTAAGATAAAAATATAATATATTACACAGTTTGTATTCTTTGTTTTAGGGTAGCCTCACAGAAAGAAGGCTGTGGGTTTTATCCCATGTCGACCCAGGTCTGACTGTACTTGCATGTTTCTCCCCGTGTCTTGGTGGATATCCTTCGGGCGCTCCGGTTTCCCCCACCACTCAACACATGCACCATTATGAATGTGGTGAGTGATGGTCGGAAGGAGACTGGGCCCTTGCTTCCGTCACCACTGAGTGTGGAGTGAATGAATAGTGACTTCAGTGTAGCACTTCAAGCCTGTAATGCGATATAAAAGTGCAAGGCATTATTTTATCAGAAGTCGATGGTATAAGTAATCGTCTGTCCACTGTGATATTTTTATTTCCAGGTTGACCTAAGCTGCATGCCTGTTCACTGTTACTGGGGCTGCTGCTGTTATGTAGTTGTACATACCAGTTATTTTTGGCTCTTCTATTTGGGAGAAGTGCTAAAAACAGATTATGCTGCTTCTGTCCTGGGTGTTGAACCTGCTGCACGGTGGCAGGAAGGTCATGAGTTCGATTCCCATGTCATCCTGGGTCTTTCTGAATCGAGTTTTCATGTTTCTCCCTGTGTCTGGATGAGTTTCCTCTGGTTTCCCCCATCACCCAAAATACCATAGGTAAAATCCTCCCGCTCCAGTAGCAACCAAGACCATCATCATCTGGAGATCCCTGACAGGTTACTAGTTCCACTGCATTGGAAGGGTCAAATCCAATGCAGTGGACAAATTCCCATACATGGACATTAATCGTCCCATAACCAAATATTAATGTGGTCAAAACTGCCTTATAGTGATATATTAAAAAAATATTTCATTTTTTCTAGGCATAATATTTGAAATCTTTTACTGGCTACTCTCCCGTTTTAACATGTCTTTGTTTGATTTCCAGCTCTAAAACAATGTATAATAATTACTGCTGTCAGACACGTTAATAATGGCGATAATGTAAACAAATTATAATGGGCGTAAATTTTTTAACGCGTGATTAACTGAAAGCCACATTACCGCACAGCAGAAATACCTTTTGGTCATATTTTTGGCTGACGAGTGCTTGTGCTCCAGGCTTCTACCACGGGCACGTACTGTATCTGAAATCAGCTGCGGCCTCCTCCGTGCGCCGTTGAGGAAAGCGGAGAGACAAGTCTTTCTGCTTCCGATGACTGTGTAGAGAACGTAAGGTCCAGCAGGCGTTGGGGAAATGTAGACCATGGATAGACATGCGATTAATCACAAGGTCAAAGGTCAAGGTCAAATTTATTTATAAAGCACATTTACAAAACAGCCATCACTGCCCCAAAGTGCTGTACACAGTACAATAATACAACACTACAAAAACACAACAATATAACACGATAAGAAAGTAAAAATGTAAACTGTAAAAATATGAAAAATGCTCAGCTCATCTTGTGTTAAAAGCCTGCGTAAAAAGGTAAGTCTTTACCAGAGTTTTGAAGCTCTCAACTGATGTAGCCTGTCTAATGTTCACAGGGAGGGAGTTCCACAGTTTAGGGCCTGCTACTGCAAAAGCTCTATCTCCTTTAGTTTTTAAATGAGATCTTGGACGATCCAGCAAACTTTGGCCCGAGGATCGCAGAGCTCTGACAGGGGCGTGCAAAGACAACAAAACAAGTTAACTATGACATGAATTCGATTATTCCGATTAATTTATTTTAATAGTCTGTCAGCAAAAATAATATTTGTTTTGAAGCAGTGTTTTGTTGTTTAAAGCCTTGACCATAAATGGCGATTGTGATGTTTTTAATTCAACATTTCTCTGCCCTGCGTCTGTGATTTGACAGGCATCTTTCACCCTCTGTTGGCCTGAGCGTACTACCTGCAGAGCCTTGTCACATTTCACCCCTGCGTGCCACATTCCTCCTTATCTAACAGGGGGCTACATACCTTTACCATGAAGCACGAGCACTGGGCTGTTTCACTTCAGCAAACGTGGGCCCTGTCAACCCGGCGGCAGCGCAGACCGAAAACTATTATTGTATTGCCAATCGTATTTGTTGATGATATGATGATAATACAAACAGGTTTAGCTGCTGTTCATAGGTGTTAAGAGCTTAACATGAACTTCTGTTGTGTCTACACTTTGGAGCCTTTTTGTGTTCTTAAATACATTTCTTGACCTGCCGCACAAAAGGAATGCTAAACCTTTCATTTAGTGCGGCCTTGTTTGATTATATACTGTCTGTTAACAACAAAGCCTGTTAAAAGCAATAGGATTACATTTTTAGATGACCTATAGATTTATTTTTATTAGCAGTATTTTTGTAAACATTCATCGCCTTATAATTTCACAATCCTATCCCAGATCCTATTCAGTGTACAGTTTTGTCATTGGCGTCGGACATTGAGTTCTAAGTCATGGCAGTCAGTAACCCTGATACAGTCATCACGAAAACATCAGGGCCACTTCTCTCCTGTCAGACACACACACACACACTTTGAAAGCCACTTAAATGTAGGCCAGTTCATCAGAAACCATTTGCTTGTGTTCCAAACCCTTCTTGACGGGTATAGATGCTCTGTGGTCCCACAACCCACCCACGCTCTGGCTGCGGCTACAGATGTGTGCAGCTCTCTCCCCCTTCTACAAGTGCTACTACAGCGGCTCCATTGAGAGGCTCCTGTGACAGAGCAAACTGCTGCTGCTGGTGACTCAGACCGAGCTCTTATCTACTCCACTATTAGAACGCACGCCCTCTGGTGGACACTGTCGTCACACTCGCAAACCCATGAAAGATATTTTATCCTATTCAGACGAAAGCGTTAAGTGATAAAGACATGGACAACATCTCAACTATGACAAAAAATACATCAAAGATCATTGAAAAATAAAAAAATCCAGCTTGTGCGACATAGTAAAAGATGCATTTACTATTTAGTCGTGACATCGTGAGGGACTTGAGGACTGGTTTAATGTTGTCCTTACAATTTTTGTAATGGAAAATACCGCTCACTTCATGAGACTTGAACTGGAAACATTTGTCAAACTTTGGGAATCCTGGAAACTGTTGCTCCTCTTAGATCAGACTTCAATTGAATGTCAGCTGTAACCACTGCATTATTGTTTTTTTCATATCTCCATCTGTTATGTTGAAGGGGAAATATAATCTTACTGTTTATATGACATAAAAGGGACTATATACACGCCAATGTTGGATTAATTGACTATTAATTACTCCTAATAAATATTCCTACCTTCCCTGCAGTTTGGAAACATTGACCTGAACGATCACTATTGAACTCCTTAGACGCCAAAGTAGCTTCATAAACGTTGGAATCCGGGGACAACCTGGTCTCCCACAAACATTTTCGTTCATGTCCGTCCGTGGGAGCGGATCCCTCTCTCATTATGGGCCATCCTGTCGTTCCTTGTCGACCACAGGAGGGTCTAAGAACATTGATGATCCAGGACATTAACATTAACATTTATGGATATTGGTCATCCCTCTCCCTATGGACTAATGTGTTTGTTATTATTGCATTTCCTGCGTTTGAACTGTTTGATTCTCTGATCTGTTGTTGGCGAATTGTCATCTTTGTCAAGTCCTCCGAGATAACTACTTTTGAATTTATTACATTTTTCATACATATTGTTATATTATTTATTTCTGTTATTGCCTTTAGTAGTCTTCTATCTCTGATAATCTTTCAAAGTTTTGTATTTGACACTGTACATTTATAAACAAGTTCTAACTGCATATTGTGCTTTTTTCAGCTTTTTAGACCGAATCGATGTGGTCAGGCAACACGACTACACCCCGACAGACCAGGTATGTGATGTATACATTTCGTACGTGACAGCACTGTACTACTACGTCTATAGTCAGGGAAACATATTTTTTATGTACAGTATACTTGCTGGACTATAAGGAGCTTCTTTCGTCACAATTTTTTCCCCTGCGGTCTATTAAGGCGATGCGGCCAATGTAATGTATTTTTCTTTGGTTAGAGCTCTCCCGAGGCTGTAGGAATGGAAATGGACATAGCTCTATCAACTGTATCAGTGTTAGACTCATATAGTCTTAGTAGGAATGTTGCTGTCACTAAAGATTGTATTTACCAGAGCGCTTCGATCATCACAAGTCATCAGTCCGTTGTTTAGCTCAATTGGCTTTTGCCTAAGTATTATGTTACAACATGAAACCCTAGGGCCTGTATATGGACAAATTCAAATTTCTCAAAATGTAGCTGTTCCAGTTTATGTATATGTGTGCTTAATAGTTCAGCAAGTATTGTATTTATGTATTTATAAAAACATTTCATTCATTCATTCATTCATTTAAACGGGGACTATCATGCATTGTACGATTCTGCAGCACGTTTTGTTAAGCACTTCGCCAGTTCCCTTGTGTACGCCTGACCTGAACATTTCTGTATATGTACAATGCTATTTTTCAATTGTAATCCCTGGGTAAAATGTAAAGATGCCATTAAAACAAGACATTAGCAATTGGTACATAAAAAAAGAGTAAAAGTTCATCACCTCATTCATTTCTTCAATCTCTTGTACCACTTTCGACCAGGACCTGTTGAGATGCCGAGTGCTTACGTCTGGGATTTTCGAGACGAGATTTCAAATAGACAAAGTCAATTTTCAGTAGGTTGACACTTTGTTCATGTGTAGTATATTTTTAAGTCTGTTTTGAAGTCACCAATTCTTTGCTTTACAGCATGTTTGACGTTGGGGGTCAAAGAGATGAACGTCGAAAATGGATCCAGTGTTTTAACGGTGAGATTGAGAAGGCATATTGACGTCCTGTTCATGTCCTTGGATTTGATATTAAAGCTGGGTTGCCTAACTTCTTAATACTTAAATTTTTTCATATTTATTTTTATTTGCCTTTTCCTGCAGATGTGACAGCTATCATCTTTGTGGTGGCGAGTAGTAGTTACAACATGGTGATCAGAGAGGACAATCAGACCAACAGGCTACAGGAGGCCCTCAACCTATTTAAGAACATATGGAATAACAGGTCATTTTCTGCTCATTTTCCCTTTCGACCATGTAGCCAATTTTCCCCATGGAGGTGTTTTTTATTCCACAGTATTGAAAACTGGTGATTTACTTTGTTTTTTTTTTTTTATTTATTTAAAGGGCACCTAACATGACAAATCTACTTTTCATCGATTTTGACTATGTTATAGTTGTGTTTTAGTAATTTGTGCCTGTGAGAGGAGACCACATATCCCAAGACTCAGAGCTGACTGGTTTTGTTGAAATGCCCACTAGTTTCACTGATTTCACTTTATGAATCTTTGTTACTTACTTTGTTCGCCGATTTAATTTCTAAATTTGATATGCAGATGACTTGAAGGAATTTTTTCTCAAGGAAAAAAAAATCTACTGTTTGCTAAGTTTATGGAGCTTTGATGTCTCGTTTCACTGACGTTGAGAAGGGGCAGAGGGTAGATCCATCTGGCTGGACTAAATACTGTAGAATATGGAGATTTTGGCTTTATGGATACAGTTATAATTTGTTAGTTAACGGCAAATTCATAGTGCATGTATGAAATAATAACAGTGGGGCGGCTGAGGCTGTAAAGTGCCAAACTGCCGTTGTGTCCTTAGGCAAGACACTTCACCCCCATTGCCTAGAATGAGTCTGGTGTGTGTGTGTGTGAATGGTTGGTGGTGGGTGGAGGGGCCAATGGCACATACTGGTTGCCTCGCTTCTGTCAGTGTGCCCCAGGGCAGCTGTGGCTACAGTAGTCGTTTATAATCACCGTGTATGGAGTGAATGAATAATGACATGAAGCGTCTTTGAGTGTCCAAAAAAGCGCTTTATAACCGATGCATTATTATTATTATTATTAATACATGCATGTCTACATAAGAATAACTCTGCTGTAAATTAATGTGGGAATACAATAGTTAAAGCCAGATGGATCAATAGATGTATAAATAGTTGTGGTCAAAATTGTGAAATACTGCCTTATACTCATGTTTTAAAAGGGTATTTCCTCGTGACTTTCATCTTATCCCATCCCGACATGTATGCTGCATTTAAATATATGAAGACAGTGTATGCCGCTGCCTCTCGCTGGTTTTCTTAGTTTTAACCGACTCTTTCTCCTTTTTCAGGTGGCTACGGACCATTTCAGTAATTCTCTTTCTGAACAAGCAGGACCTGCTTGCTGAAAAGGTTTTGGCTGCGAAGTCTAAAATTGAGGACTATTTTGCAGAGTTTGCACGATACACTACACCTGATGATGGTAAGACAGTCATAGTTCAAAAGTTCAGTCAACAACGCTGCTTCCTGTAGCAGAAAATGTATCAAAGATTAGTTTTAAAGCCATTACATTTTTTCTACATTTTTTTCTTTTCTTTTATTATATTTGTAATTTTTTTCTAATTTTTATCTCACCAGCCATACCAGAACAAGGTGAGGACCCTCGTGTCACAAGAGCAAAATACTTCATTCGAGACGAGTTTCTGGTGAGTTTTAAAAAGTGTAGTCTCACAACAGGGTTCCTGTGTTCTTTATATCGTTTTTTTTCCAAATGAGTTATCATAACACAAGAAAGTTACATTTTGTCTCTTTAAAACTCTAACTTTATTCATAAATTATACAACAGAAAGTGTTTCGTAAAAGTAAAATGTTGTGAACAACTCTTACCTCTGCTGAGAGATGATGAGGGTGGTCCTCTCTTTTTCACTTTTCTGTCTGAAAAGCCGCTTTCAGCCGGTGACAGAAGCATAAAAATTATGGATAGAACCAAACTGTAATTAGTGCAAAGAACCAACTAGATTGTATTACACACCAGTTGTTCCATTTTTGGGGTTGCAAGATTAGGCACCACCAGTGGCGTTCCAAGGGTACACGGGGCCCCAGGCAACAGAGTCCTTGGGGGCCCCGATACCGACCACATAACCACATGAAAAGGTTTATATTACAGTAGGTATAAATATATATTTGATTATAAGGTAAAATGCAACATCTATTACTTGTTTACATTAATATAATTAAATTTAGATAATTTCTTATTTTAACAATAAATCGATAGGCCTGGGGCCTGCCTGGCATACTGTACAGTCTACCATAGACAATTGTGAGTACTTCAGAACTTATCGTGACACAAAGCAATGAGAAATAATTTAGCATGTCTTTTTATAAGCTTGTTCACTACACTCATCATGTTATAATTAAATACAAAAACTACCTATCAAAGTGTGTTAATCCTACAAAATCTAATCTTTCATTTGGCCCTCAGTCTTTATATAGTCTATATAAACACGGAGTGCCCTATGACAGATTAGGCTCTTACCTTTAATCTGCCAATAACTGCTTGTTTTTACCTTTTACCGTTCTTGAGAAATCTCTCGTAGAATATAATATATATAGTTTAATCCAAAACACGGATCTCACACAGATTCGAACACGGGTCATCGTGGCACAAGCGCTGCGCCTTAACCACTAGACCACTATTACATACAAAACACAACAGTTCTCAGGCAGGCTTTTTAATTGTTAATGAAGAACGTGGCAAGTTTTGCATCAGACGAAAAGTTTTTGTCCGCCAACTCGTCACTGCAGGTAGCTGTTGTAGCCTGTACAAGTTGACCACTTGTGTCAAATCAGTTGGCCCTAGGGGGCCCCCTGCCGGTTTGGGGGACGCCGCCGGGCACTACAACTTGAACTGGTTAGCATATATATATATGATTAGCATATATATGATTAGCATATAATCATATTAGTGCTTTAAAAGAGAGAGGCATGACACTTGGCTCTTTGCAGCAGTTTAGACCAGCTTTTTTTTTTTTTTTGAAAAAATGTTATAGATTGCTTCCTGTTTTGTTCTTTTTCTTCTAAATTGTCTTTCTAAACTTTTAAACTGTTCTGCAGCGAATCAGCACAGCCAGTGGGGACGGCCGCCACTACTGCTATCCTCACTTCACATGTGCGGTGGACACCGAGAACATCCGCCGTGTCTTCAATGACTGCCGCGACATCATTCAGAGGATGCATCTACGGCAGTATGAGCTCTTGTGATGGGCTAAAGTCCTCTCCAGTATCTACCTATGACCTACCTGTCTCCCTGTGCCACCAGTTAGCCAATCACCCGACACTGTCACCAAACTCGAGCAAATGCCTGCCCACCCTGAAGCCCCCACAGCTCCTACTCCAAAGTTGCCAATCCCAGCACAGACTGTGGAGAGACTTTTTTTTTTAGCTGACTTAAACTAGTCGAGACTTAAGACTTTGCAGGCTCTTCCCCCTAATCAGCTCTATCACTTATATCAATAATCAACACAGCAGAAGACGTTTAAAAGCCACATAGTATGAATACATTTAAACTGCTGCTTTAAAGCTGAAGAATGAGCGTTTTCACTACAGTGGACCAAGAGGACGATAGTGAAATAAGTGAACTACAAGAAGGCAGTAACGGTGGCCTGACTTTTCCCTGTGGATATGAGCGTGACTCAAACACATGACCACATGGATCTCATGACGCTCTCTTCAATGATGGATGGAAAACAAGTTAAAAAGTTAAAAAAGAGAAAAATACCATATAAATGCATAAATCATGCATACCAGTGAACTTCATGCAGTGCAAAAAATCCAAGCTATATATATAGATATTTATATATGAGTGTATATAAATATGTATATATATATAAATATATATAAATCTATAAATATTAATATTATATATTCCTGTAATAACACGTTCAGCTTTTAATTTTTTGTTAGTTTTTACCCCGTGTGTGTGTGTTGGTGGACACTGTGTGGTCAGCATTAGTGCACCATTTAAAACCCTTGCTCTCAATATTAGAGAGTCACCCATCACCAGGACGTGCTGCTGTGTTAGTCCGGAATTGTTGATGTTGAGATGGACGTCAGCTCCAACAACTATACAGTCCAATCATAACGCACTTTTAAAGTGCAAGGCAAATTACTACAATACTCATTGAGGAGAGATGCAAGTACAGCGCAGACCTCCGTCAAGAGGTACAATTCCATTGCTTTAATAAATTCTTGTATTGCTGTGATCCAAATTGCCTCAAATGTATCGTAAAGATTTGGCCATATCTTTTGGAATTATGTTGCAAACAAACAGACCCAACAAACCCAGATGATAATGATGACACAATCCCCTGGTTTATAACATACATGTACATTTGTTGTTGTCCTGTTGTTACTTGCCACTATTGATTTCAATTGCTCCTTCCTGCATAATTAAAAATGCCGGACTAACACGATGTTGTAGATGCAAACAAACGTGGTTGAGTAAGAAGGTGTTGAACGTAAAGAAAATATTCATATCGAGAGGATCCACACTGAAGCCAGGGACGCCCCATCATCGCCTGAGGCTCACAGAACCCTCCCACACCCACTCTGGCTTTAATATGTCTTTATTTTACTGCTGGACTATTATTCTTGTACAGACTGTAAAATGTATTATTTTGTACAACTTTATTGAAGAAAAAATAACTTGTAGAAGATCCCTGTGCCTTGATCACGACTGTACGTGTAAAAATGAGCTAATATGTAAGTTATGTTTCACTGCGCTGTACAGCTGGACAGAGGCAGCGGGCAAAGGCCTTTTGTCTGTTGCTTTGTTTCCATTTCCCCACATTTTCTGTCAATTCATTTGTTTTGCATTGACTCTCCTGTTTTATATATTAGGATTTTAAAAACTGAAAAGATAATCAAGCACCACCTTAATGCTGTGTCGTGGAAAATACTGAACACAAGTTAATATATATAAAATATATTTCAGATTTTATATTTTATATATATGTGTATATCTACTGTACACTTCTATCCCCCTGTGTGAACTATTCCCAGGTTTTAGTTTGATTTCAGTCTGTAACATCAGTCTATTTTTCAGAACGCGGCCGTGCTGGGTGCAATGGATGGTGTACTTTTTTTAATCCATTTTGTTTTTTATTTTATTTTAGCTTTAACTTTGAAGGAGAGGACATTATCCAATTGCAAAACATTGCTTGTTTTTACATAAACCAAATTATTTTGCCTAAACAAGAGGCAGTTGTCATAGTGTTTGGTTTATTTCCATGATTCAGACCTCATTTTTTAGCACACTGAAAACATGCCTTGCAAGACCACATTATGATTTTTTTTTTTTAACCCAACAGATTTGATCAGGGCTAACTTCATCGTTTCTAGCTTTTTGTTGTAATAAAGATTGAAATGTTATGAGTAATTTATAAATTACAAAACTAAATTTTAATAAAATGGTAACGCTTAAAGAATAACTACTATGGATTATTGGGTACTGTTTAGTAAAAAGGCATAAACTTCGAACATTTCAATGATAGATGGGCTAAATATTAAAATGTTTTATAACAATATACTCTTTCTTTTGTTAGATGTGAAATTAACGAGATTTTCAGATCATGGGTTGTAGCCGTCGCATGGATAATGGGTCTATTATAAATCTTTAGTCCTTGATGAGCTCATATTCTGACAATGCAGGTTTTCTGAAAACTTGCACACAAAAGTAACTAGTTACTTTGGTTTATTCCTTTTTGAAGTAACTCAGTATTGTGACCCATTACAAATGTAAAATTAAAATCCTCTATATTTTATTTCCTTGATTTTTAAAACTTAAATCATGATCATGGAAATAGACATTCCACAATTTCAAACTCATTTTAAGAAAAATGTATGAGGCGGAACTGTTTGATGAAAAGAGCTTTCAGAACTCTGAAACATCAATATTATGTGTTTATCCTTGAATCAAACTAACAAAAATGACCTCACTTATCTCTGTAACGAGTAATATATTTTAACTTATCCAACACTGGCAATAACTACTCCAGTGTGGCTCAGCTGAACGATTCAGAAAGATACACCAAAAATAGTTATGGTGTGTGTGGGTGTGTTATGGATCTATTATAATATTGTGTGCGTGTGTGCACTGTATCAACAAAAGACTGTCCTCTCTCTTCTTACAAACATAAAACACCTAAGATACAAACAGATTTACTGCCTCAGACAGACTGGATGCATCAGAGTTCATAAAAAAAAAATCCATTCTTGAGCTTAAATGTATGGTTTGAGATGGGGTAGCCCCTTTTAAAGATGGCAGCTTAGGTCATAACACATACAGTCTATGGGTCATATGTATACCATAGAGTCTAATACAAATCAGCAAGGAAAATTGTTTTTATTTTATTCTTATTAAATCTGATTCAGGGCTTGTTCCATAGACCTTACGTTGTGTTTTGAGCTTCAGCCTGAGCCCCCGCTGCCCCCTGATGGAACATCTATGAAACAGCATTTCGTTTACCGTGGTCACGTAATCAGTGTTTCTGAATCGTGTTTTGAATGCGTTTCGTTGCTTTGATTAATCGGGACGGTGGAGCACCGCGGTGAAGTTAGTTTGAAGTTGGATATCCGACAGACATTCGCCGCAACATTTTAGTGCACCCCTACTACACACAGTACGGTAAACACGCGGAGACATGTACGCTGGTCTAATATTTACATATAAAAAATCATTAAAAATACTTACAACATTTTAATGATAAAATAAGAGGTGTACCCCCTGTATCTAGTGGATGACTATGATCCTGACCTGATTTGGAGTCAATAGGTCACATGACCTGGAAGCTATTGAGCTAAAATGCTAATATTTGCCTTTAAAAATTCATTAAAAATTCTTAAAAAAAACTTAAATGACAAAAGAAGAGGTGTACCCCCTACAGCTAGGGGAGGACTATGATCCTGACCTGATTTGGAGTCAATAGTATTGACTCCAAATCAGGTCAGGATCATAGTCCTCCACTAGATACAGGGGGTACACCTCTTCTTTTATCATTAAAATGTTGTAAGTATTTTTAATGATTTTTTATATGTAAATATTAGCCCAGGGTACATGTCTCCGCGTGTTTACCGTACGGTGTGTAGTAGGGGTGCACTAAAATGTTGGAGCGGCTTTCGAGTCGCTCTGAACCCAGAGAGAAGGAGAGGTGTACCGAGAGGGAATGACCGTTGAATGTCTGTCGGATATCCAACTTCAAACTAACTTCACCGCGGTCCTTGGAGCCCCGTTGCTAGAGGCCGGTTTTGGTTTTGGTTTGGTGAAAAGTTCAGGTTTAACTCTCGTTTTCCTGCTGCTGAAAAGAGTTTAGGTTCAGTTGTGTGTCAGTCACAGCGGTAACATGCTCCAAACGGTAAAGAGCCGCTCATCAAGATTGACACTGGGTCGGTTGGCTCCAATACTGTGATACGTGTACACGGATTTATTATCATGACTGTAGTGTGGAATTATTATAGATCCATGGGAATGAGGCGCCAGTGTATGTGACTGAACACTTCATCAACACCCAATGTTGGAAGGAGTGTAATTATGTCAGACGCACATATGTACCACTGATATATACATCCACGGACATGTCACATACGTCCAAGGACATACATCCATACCACAAACAGGCGCCAGTTTAGTAAACAGAGCAGCCCACGTGGACAGAGGCGGAAGTCGGAAGTGCTCGTGCGTGGCCCCGCCCCGGTGTCCCACGCGTTGGCGCGCTCCGCTCATGCTCTGCTCTGTAGCCGCTCTCTCTGCTCTTCTCTGGGGCTGCTCTGTCTCTATGAGCTGGTAGCAGGCCCTCTGACTCTGTAGGACCGCTCCGGGCACAACTCAGATGGCGGCGGGTAGTGGCCAGTCCGGTTCGGCGTTAGGCCCAGTCCAACAGGGTCTGAAAGAGGCGCTTATTGAGACTCTGACGGCGATCCTGTCCCCCGTGCAAGAAGTGCGCGCGGCTGCGGAGGAGCAGGTCAAAGTGCTGGAAGTGACAGAGGGTGAGTGCCGAGGATAAAACACATGCACATGTTTAACTACACCATCATAAATGCACATGGTACCTGCCCTGCTTTTCACACCGTAGACTGTTGCTTCCCCATAAGCTAAGGTAACTGGTAGCTTAGCTGTATACAGGCCAGTTGTACACTTCACTCATCCCTAACCATAACCTGGGTTCCTTTTTTGTTTGTGCAAGATTTGAGTCTTGCCTACTCTGTTTCCTAAAATGTATTTGCCACAATCAATGCCAGTCATTTGAGAAAAAAAAAATGCTAGCAGCAGTTATTAGACTTGAGCTCATGGACTCTGCTGGATCTAAAAACCTAAACTCACTCCTTAATTATGTGTAGTTAACTACTTACTAAACGATATTTGTAAGTTCATATTTGCACTTGCTTTGTTGGGTTCTGAAGGATGCTTCGGTATGGTGAAATTGTAACCCTACTTGCCATTTTTTTTTTGTGTCATTCTTTTGACACAGTGGATGCAGGTCATCCTCTTCCATCAACAGTTTTAACCAGATCTGCTTCTCTATAAGGAATTGATTCAACAGCTGGGTGGACTCTTGTTTCCTGCATTTATTTTTGCATTTAACGTTTGAATTTGAAAGACTGTGCATGTATGTATGAAGACACAATATTAGTAGGTCTGAATCTGAATATGTATCAAATAGTTGGCCTGTTCAAGCGCTCGAACATGTGCTGCTACATCTTTTGCTTATTCCCCAAAAGCAGTGGTCCTGAAAAAAGTAATTAATTAATCAAACAAAACCATAATACTAGTTTATATTTATTTACACTGTTTTAGGTTGCTACTCACACAAAAAAGGAGCTACAAGGTTCTGCTATGCAACTGTCTTACGCTACTCAAATTATTATTAAATCTTGTTCTCCCTGTGTTTGAGGGGTCTCCTGTTTCCCCCACCACCCAAAACATGCACCATGGATAAAATCATCCAGCTCTGGTCTTACTCTTGACCAACATTTGGCGATAACGCAATGTAGCATCCAGAGAGCTAACTATGTAACTATCTACCTTCAGAGCTTTCCAGCAAAACTGTAAACAACAACCCCAGGTTTACCAACTGCGTGAGTCTACTTTAATGCATGTGACGTGGGAGCAGCTCCATGGTGTTCTTCAGTCAGATATGGGAAATATCCCAGTTGCCTGGAACAAAGCATAAATTACTCCCCACAACTGCTTAAAGTGTTACTACATATGTATCAAGGCATCCCAGGTTCACCCTCTTAAAACTGCATCGTATGGTACAATAACAAATGGGATTTCTCTTTTTTGTGTCAATGGCATGTTTTATATGACACAAATATTATTTTTGACAGTGCTTAAAGTCACTGGTGGCAGGTTCTCTGTTTATCTTATTGTTATTTTGGGTTCTACTGACAAATTCACTGACGCATATAGCTTTCATTTCATATAGTTTATTATGTAGAAAAGGTGTATTTTTAAATCGGATTTCATTCACACAAAGCAAATATATTTTTTATTTTTTCTGTAAAAGTGTGTGTGATGTTTGTTCATGTTTGACATAATTTCATTCATAAATTGCATTGCAGATAGCTGCTGGCTGCCGGCTCTGTGCTGTTTGATCAGCCTCATGTTCTAAGCCTCTGCGGCCCCTCTTACATCCACATCAGCACTAGCTTTGTCTTCTGGCTCCTGACGTCACTCTTACTAAACCCAGTCTCGCAGAAAGGGCAAGTCCATTCTCGGACAGAACTGCAAACATTATCAAGTTAGAAAATTTTTGCAAAGACTGAATAGATTTTGGTAATACACTTTCATTTTTATTCGGAACAGGTTCTTTGACGTAACTACAAACACAATCCAAACTCTTGATGCCAGTGCCTCGCCTGTGGATGCTCCTCCAGCTCCGATTTCTACTTTCTTGTCCATTGTTTTAGTAATAGGAGAATGAAATCAGAATTTTGATCAGAAAATATGCAATTAGATTTATACATGTCAATCTCAGGTCTGGGGACAATGATGGATATGTAAATAACATTTTTGCATGCTTTTAAAAGCCAATATTTCAGCTGGGTTTTTAATACTTTATAAATGATGTTTACATGTTATTTTTTATGCATAATGGATTACATTTAGTGTTGTGTTGTTTTTTCTTCATAGAATTTGGAGTCCATCTAGCAGAACTCACCGTCGACACCCAAGGAGCCCTCGCTATTCGTCAGGTGAGATGGTTTAATGAGGACGAATAAAAGATCTCTTAATCTAATGTTTTATTTCGTTTTATTAATTTACTTTTTATATTCTTTCCAGTTGGCGTCGGTCATCCTGAAGCAGTATGTTGAGACCCACTGGTGTTCACAGTCAGAAAAATTTAGGCCCCCAGAAACTTCAGATCAGGTCAGTATGGTGACTTGTGTAAAAAATGTTTCTGTGACCAGCATGCTTGACTGACTCCAGGAAGAATAGATGTACTTGTTACAACTAATGGAGATCAAATAAATACAAGTATTCAGCAGTGCATTGTCCACACCCTTTTGATTCTGACACAGAAAGTTTGCCGGGATTGTTCGGTTCATTTGGACTAATGCGAATACACAAACTAATGGCTTAAAACATGACTTGATGTCATGTTTGAGTGATACACATCCATATAGGCCATATTGTTTAACACAAACCTGACTAATATAAATGCATTACTCCAGTTGTGACCTCTAAAACGTCCTCTCTTTTTGTCAAAACAAATTGATATAAAAGTAAATTTGTCACATACATGAGCTTATCTTCCCAGGCTAAAGCAGCTATTCGAGAGCTGTTACCAGGTGGCCTCCGCGAGTCCATCAGTAAAGTCCGCTCCAGTGTGGCCTATGCTGTCTCTGCCATTGCGCACTGGGATTGGCCTGAAGCTTGGCCTCAGCTTTTCACTCTGCTCATGGAGATGCTGGTCAGTGGAAACATAAACGCTGTTCACGGAGCCATGAGGGTCCTCACCGGTGTGTAACCATTATCTGCATGAGCGTTACACAAATAAAATGTATTATTAATGGTTTGTATTCATCCTGCTTTCAGAGTTCACACGAGAAGTCACAGACACACAGATGCCTTTAGTGGCTCCAGTCATTTTACCTGAAATGTACAAGATTTTTACTATGGCTGAAGTATGATATGGTTTCTCATTCAAAACCCATATTATTAGATACGTTATTCTGATTGATTTCTTTGTTGCAGGTGTACAGCATCAGAACGCGTTCAAGAGCAGTGGAAATTTTTACTACTTGTGCAAACCTCATTTGTGCAATCGAGGAACTTGAAAAGGTGTGACCTCAGTTCTAATATGCACACCAACAAGAATCTCTTATTATTTTAATTACAGACCAGACAAATGATTTGTATTCTATGTTGAGGCTGAAATGTACATGTTTTTGTCGTAGGGAGCAGCCAAAGCCTTGATCTTCCCTGTAGTGCAGCAGTTTACAGTAGCCTTTGTGCAGGCTTTGCAGATGCCTGATGGTTCCACGTCAGACAGTGGTCTTAAGATGGAAGTCCTCAAGGTGAGCCTCCCTTTGATCTCACCGACGTAAAGTTATTTCACTGTCCCTTTTCTGATTATTATTTCATAGGCGGTGACGGCTTTAGTGAAGAACTTTCCCAAACCCATGGTATCATCAATGCAGCAGATATTACCAATAGTTTGGAATACCTTGACCGAAAGTGCTGCTTTATATCCTTTTTTGTTTTTCAAATTATGAAAATTGTATGACTTTTACAAAGTTTGAGATGATAATCTATACAGCACTTGCTGGACTAAAGCCCACCTATCTATAAACCGCAACAGTAAGTTATGTCAAGGTGTTTTTGAAGCATTCCTGTTGATAAAAGCACTCTGTTAAATGCAATATATTTTGACCACAAACATGCTTCCCATCCCAATGAGTACTTAATAGAGATAAGATAATGTAACAGGACAAAAGTACAAAAAATACTAGGGGGACTCGCAGTTTATAGTGTGGCAAGTACTGTGCTGTACATTGTTACTTTTTACTGTATTTTTTAAAAGATACATTAAAAGAGTTACAGTAAGACAAGACATGGACTCACTATAACAAACTACTGAAAGCATTGACACTAAAGTTAAGAATGGGTAACAAGGTGAGATCAGTTTTTACAATAGTCCACTATAGCGCTTTGGGTGACCTTGGTCTGTAAAAAGCCCTAGTTTATATGAATACTAGGGCTGTCAAAATTATCGCGTAAATCCACGTTAATTACGATATCATTAACGCACATTAACTGCCATTGACGTGTTAACACGTCAATTGAGTTCCCCGCTATTTTCACGTTCCCAGATGTCTATTGTATCAAATATGTAAGGCTTGAGGCAATATTCTATCGAGCCAGCAAATGGCAGCATTGCTCTATAAATGGTTTGAAAACAGCTAGATTCACATGTGCCTCTTTTTTCTCAGCTTTCTGGTGATTTCGATAAAACTTACCTCTACTCGACTGGGGATTACAGGGGAACGAAACAAGCTAGAAACAAAATTATTGTTGCTGATGAAAGTAGACAGTCCATTCTTTCAGAATCTGGTTGGATTTCAGATAGTCATAGTACACAATATTCTGTGGGTCTTGAAAATTCAGTAAAAATCATCAGAAACGGCTGCCAATATGGGAGTACCTGTTCTGAAATAGGCTGGCAGTCAATCGCATGTCCGAATGACCCGCCCATTTATAATATCACTCAGAATGCCGCGGACACGTGCGTATATACGCACAGGGGCCATTCTCTGATGTTGTGTGACACACGGAGGAGAGGAGGAGACACGCTGAAATGCAACCAAACTCGCAAAATTAAAGCTGGGGTACCTACATTTTCCCTTTCATTGACAGCTCTTGTTGGTTGTACCCAAAAGAAGGTTGTGAGCAAGTCAGATTTAAGTACATTTGGTCTGAATAACAATGTGTCATTACATTTGAAAATCTCATTTAACTTCAATTGGAGTGGATTTGAAATAGAATGTTAAAAATGCGATTAATTAACTATGCGATTAATCAACTAAAAAAAAATTATCGTTTGACAGCCCTAAAATAAACCTTACCTTGCTTACTTATAGTAGACTCTTGCATCCATAGTAAAATATATTTTCAAACGCCACGTTTCCCTTAACATCTTCACCTATGTCAGAACAGAGGTCAACTACACAGAGGAAGTGGACGACCCGGTAGATTCAGATGGTGTGTCTTTGTCTTTTCAACCAAATTTTAGTCGTATTGTCCCATTGTCCTAATCTCACACTTTGGATTATTCCACAGGTGAGGTTTTGGGCTTTGAGAATCTGGTCTTTAGTATTTTTGAGTTTGTACACACACTTTTGGAGAACAACAAGTTCAAGAGCACGGTGAAGAAGGCTCTGCCAGAACTGATCTATTACATTATCCTCTACATGCAGATCACTGAAGACCAGGTGAGGGCCGAGGGTGTGGCACTATCATTACTGCACAATTCTAAAAAAAAACGTTCATACATGCGTTTTGTCAGATTAAAGTGTGGACCGCCAACCCGCAACAGTTTGTGGAGGATGAAGATGATGACACCTTTTCTTATACTGTAAGGATCTCAGCTCAAGACCTGCTGCTGGTGAGATTAATCCTCCTACATAATTTATTTTTTCAAACTCTAGGTCCACGATCAAGAAAAAATAGCATATGAAAGACATTTATACCAGTGTTTCCATAAAGGAAACTTGTGTGTATGTGTATATAACACACGGGGTACCAACGTGTATAAACAGTTAATTTTAATTTTACAACATTTTTATATTTATGTAGTATGCTATTCAAAGTACAGAGTACTACCCTCAGCCCTTCTCAGGATTATTTAAATTTTGAGAATAGAACAGATCATTTTCAATTAATCACAGTGGTATTTAAATTGGTCTATAAGTTCAATAGTATCAACATTTTTGGACACATTTTGAAATGTTAATATTGTCGTAAGTAACACTACTTGCAAAGCCCCCAATCTGAGTCTGTTTTTACCAAGCCCCCGGCGATCCAAGATGGCGCCGTATTCAAATGAATGATTGTGCTCAGTGGCGCTTTGTGCCGGCACGGTCGCTGACATATTAGCGGAACTCGCCTGAAACTCGTAAAGATCCATGGCAATCTCGCCTGTGTTTGGGCATTGTCTGGTCCTCCCGGTTCTGCTCAGTGGATTATCTCGCATGATGTGTTGCGCCAAATATGCGCGTGTGGGTCTCATGCACGCGCACAGAGGGGCTCGGCTGCGTTGTGACCAATCAGAGCTGCTGATCAGATCAGGAGTTAGAGCGAGAGCCAGACGAACAGTTTGTGGCAGTAAAGTGTGGATTTAAAGAAAACTGAAGGATTTAGGAAGAAAAAAAGTTCAGAATGACAAGGGACACTAAAATCCCCACAAAATCCCACCTTTATGAAAGCTGTAGGTTCTCTGTCAGCTGAGGTCGTGCTGTTTTAATTTACATTGAGTTCTATGGGGAACATTTCTGGGTAGCCCAAGTGAATTTAGGCCCTGTCCACACGAAGTCAAGCTCAGGCCTAAACGCAAAAATACTTTATCAATCCAGTGTATCGTCCATACGAGGCCGGCGTTTTGGGGGGGTGTAAACGAACATTTTTGAAACCAGGTCCCAGAGTGGAAAGATTTCAAAACTCCGTATATGCCGCTCCGTGGTTACTGCCTCTCCGCAATGTATCTGAGACGCTTGCGTCATCGCCCCGCCTCTTGTTAAAGCACGCATGCGCCGCACTCAGAAAATAATGACAACAACAATGTAGCTTGTTGGTTTTGTAATCCAGTGTGACCCGAAGCAACAGTTCAACCTCATCGTCCGTCCATACTAATGTAGTACCAGCTCGCCCACTCGCCATGTTGTCTGTTTACAAAATTCCGCGCATGCCCAGTTCCCGTCACGGAAGTTTGGGCTTGATCCCGTCATTGCGTCACAGCGCCACCAACAGGTCTGGCATAGTTTCACAGCGTTTTCAGGCGTATTGACTACATTCATATGGACGCACACATTTACTGAGCTAACTCCGTGTTTACAGAAAAAGTTTCTGAAATTATAAGCGTTTTGTCTTCGTGTGGATATAGCCTTAGTCTTGTTTAGTTTGCAGTACCGCGAGAATCCCCTGAGCATACATTGGTTCTTCAGCTATAAACTAGAAATGCCCTATCCAGTTATTATAATAGATCCATGGTTTTTACTGACTCTGCTTCATGTGAGGATTTGACACTCTCTGCCATTTTTGTCATTTGAAATGGATCTCCAGCACAAAATGTATTGAATAATAAGGCACCACAAATATAATTTTCAGATTAAAAGATTTAAACTCTGGAGATGTGCAGAAATGACCCTTGTATTTCTCCTTGCGTCCTGTGCAGGCTGTAGCTGCTGAGTTCCAGAACGAAAGTGCGGTTGCTCTGGCGGCGGCAGCAACCAGACACCTGCAGGAGGCAGAGCAGGCAAAAAACGGCGGCAACGAGCACTGGTATGACACCCTAACATGGAGAGTAAACTTTCTAAAATCTTTAAAGGTTTCCCAATATGTGGCTACACAAACCACAGTCAAAATAATGTAGTAAAGTTTGTTTATTGGCTCCTATGATCAGTAATTTGTAATAAACATAATACATTCCACTGTAATTTTATACGGTAAAAAATCCTTTACCTCCAAATTTAGCAGCACCTGTGCTGGGGAAAATGGGCATTGTTCACATGGGGACCCTCAGTGCCACCTCGTGGCTAGGGAAAGGTACATAATGGCTCCCTACAATCTGCATTATTCTGTTATAAACATGGATCTATTATAATGTCTGGATAGGGTATTACTAGCTTAGAGCTGTCCCACCAATGGGCACAAGGAGCGCCCACAGTACAGAAGACTAAATTCACGTGGGCTACTCAGAAAAATGTAAAAACAGTGAAAAAAAATCCGCACAGCTATGTAGCTCCCAATCAGTGTATTTTATTTACACACCAAAAAACTTTACGTTTCGGGCTGAGGCCCTTCGTCAGACATAAAATCCAGACACACCTGGTAGCAATTTTAAAGATCCAGTCACGTGAGCAAGGACTGTCACGTGACTGGTCCTAAATACACACATGCATATTTTGTACTTTATGACGAGCTGCCCCCTTTTTATCCACTTATGGTGGATGTATGCATGTGTATGTGTATATTTATATACATGCATATTTTTGTAAATGTGTTTGTGTATGGGTGTATACCTACGTGTGCATGTATGTACATATTTTGCATATTTTTTGATGTATTGTATATCTTCTGTGTATTTAGGACCAGTCACGTGACAGTCCTTGCTCACGTGACTGGATCTTTAAAATTGCTACCAGGTGTGTCTGGATTTTATGTCTGACGAAGGGCCTCAGCCCGAAACGTAACGTTTTTTGGTGTGTAAATAAAATACACTGATTGGGAGCTACATAGCTGTACGGATTTTTTTTCACTGTTTTTACATCTTACATTTTTTTTTAATCCAGAACGCTAGCTCAAACTACAGGGATGTGCGGCCTTATTTGAAACTTTCTTGCACTACCCAGAAAAATGTCCCATAGAACTCTGTGTAATTGAATACAGCTCGACCTCAGCTGACAGAGAACCTACAGCTACAAAAGGAACGCATTTTTTGGGGATTTTAATGTCCCTCTTTTTCTTGTTAAATCCTTGGGTTTTCTTTAAATACAACAAACTGCTTGTTTGGCTCCCGCTCTGATCACCAGCCGCAGATGGGTCAATCCGCGGCCGTACCCCTCTGCACATGCATGAGAGCCACACGCGCGTATTTGGCGCAAAGCATCATGGGATCCCGTCCACTGCGCAGAACTGGGAGGACCAGACGATGCCCAAATATGGGCGAGTTCCGCTAATCTTTTGGTCCCCATGGATGTCTCGTGCGCCGCTGAACACAAGCCATTCATTTGAATTTGGTGCCATCTTGGATTGTTGGGGCTTGGCTTTAACTCAGGCAGTACAATTCTTTATCACTGAGTGCGACATTAAAACGTATGAAATCAAGAGACGGACCATGAAGAATCATTCAAACAGTTGTAACTGTCAGCCTTAAATCAGTATCATATCAAAAGCAACAGGCAGCAGAGGACAAACATGGATTTGACTGAGGGACGCACAGGGAAACTTTAACCAAAAGGAAGTTTCAGCCTAATCTGCCTAGCACATCACTCCTATTCTCAAACAGCTCCATTGGTTACCGATTCCCTCCCGTATAGAATACAAAATTCTCCTCCTCGCCTTCAAAGCACTTCATAACCTCGCACCTCCATACCTGTCAGATCTCCTTCAGACATACACACCCTCCCGCCCACTTCTCTGCTCTCTGTCCCTCCAGCCAAAATGTCCACCATGGGCCTCAGGGCCTTCAGCCGCTCTGCCCCCATACTCTGGAATCATCTCTCACAAGACACTCGTGCAATAGTCTCTATCACCACATTTAAATCTCGACTCAAAACTGAGCTATTCAGAAGCGCCTATCCCACATAATCCTCCATATTTCTCATATCTTTCTATAGAACTTCTGCCACTCCACACTGTATTTTACTTCTGGGCCTTGTATTGTATTGTATTAATGTGTGTTTTATACTGTTTTTATGCTGCCTGTAAGGTGACCTTGGAAATTTTGAAAGGCGCCCACAAATAAAATCTATTATTATTATTAATTATTTAGTTATTGTTCAAACTGAATCAACAATGCATGTGTTTTATAGACTTCCCACTTGACTGCTGCTAAAGATTATAAAAATTACGTGTTATTAAGTGTTTTTGTAGAGTTTGGATGCCATTTTTCCAACATGGTCAAAATAAATGTTTTTTCCACAGGTGGAAGATCCATGAAGCCTGTATGTTGGCCCTGGGCTCAGTTAAAACCATTATCACAGAAAACGTGAAAACTGGTCGCATTCAGTTTGATATGCACGGCTTTCTGGCTGGCGTCATTTTAGCCGATCTTAACCTCTCTGGTAAGAACTATTGCACTTGGACTAACCTCTTATCATAAAATATCTAGTTCAGGGGCATTATAAGCTAGTTGCATAAATAAGTATTGGTCCCTTTCTGAAATATTTGTAAATAGCTTTTTGATTCTATCACAATATTGTCAATGTTTGAATCTCTAAAATAAATGTTTCATTATTTCACCAAGTCAACTAAAGGGGGCGCTCACACTGGACAATCTGATGTTGTTGAGCTCAGTTTTCAAGTCATATCTAGTTTTTGATTAGACAAAGATGTGTCACCACTGACAGAAGGCAGGACATCAAAACATTAATTTTTACACACTTTGTCTTTAAAAAAAGAAAATCCAATCTCCCTTAAACATAAATATATTGACTTTCTAAATGTGAATGTTTTTGGTGACATAATGTATACTGTAAATAGAAGAAACCTTACTGCATGTGTTAGCCATTCATACTGTGGTGTTGTGATTTTTTTTGAGCAGCAGCTTCTCCCTTCCTCCTCGGCCGTGCTCTGTGGGCGGCCAGTCGCTTCACTGCTGCCATGTCTCCAGAACTCATCCAGCAGTTCCTCCAGGCCACAGTGAGCGGCCTCCATGAGAGCCAATCCCCATCTGTGCGCATCTCTGCAGTCAGAGCCATCTGGGGGTGAGGGCGCTTTTCTTATGGGAAATATTAGCTGTCTGCAAAGACTGTCTAATCAAATATATAATGCCTATATTCAAGATTCAAGAATTTATTTTCATTTTGCAGTAAAACCACATTAGACCACCCTAGTGTGCACCAAATATTGACACAAGCCAACATTAAACTGTTGATATTTTAGGGCAATTAAAAATGTTAATTGGACTATTACAATGTGGTATTATTTATCATTTAATGTTTTTCTAAATTTTAAAATTACACCACTGCATTTATAAAGAGCGTCATTTCACTTTTGAAATTACAAAAAGAATTGCCAAGACTAATGGATCGACACCACTAAAAGCAGAAAAATAGTGGTACAATGACATCATGTTTCTGATATTAGCTTGTATGGTTCTAAAAACACTCCTGATTGTTTTTTGATGCGGGAACAATGTTTTAACATGGTTGCAAGCTCAAACAAGTCTTTAAATCTTGTCACTTTGACTGTTTTTCCAAATGTCATATCCTCACTGTATATACATTTACAGATACTGTGACCAGCTGAAGCTGTCGGATAGTACTCAGGTGCTGCAGCCCTTCCTGCCCAGTGTCCTGGATGGCCTGGTGCAGCTGGCCGCTCAGTTCAGTTCCGAAGTGCTCACCCTCGTCATGGAAACGCTGTGCATAGTCTGCACTGTGGACCCCGCCTTCACCACGAGTGCAGAGAACAAGATTTGCCCACTCACTATTGCCATCTTTCTAAAATATAATAATGGTAATGTTGTTTTATTTATTTTTTATGGTTGAGAAAGATATGAGACACTATATTTAGAGCAATATAGATGAACCTGTCTGTGTTATTTTAGTTTTGTGGTCGGAGTAAGTAATTTATATAGGCCATTTTACAGACCAAGGTCACCCAAAGCACTTTACAATGTTCAGATATTTTTCCATTCACACACGGTGATTACTGAAGTGAGATGCTAAACAAACTGGCGCATCAAAGCCTCCAACCAACACCCTCCATTCCATCACTCATTACATTCATACCTATTGTACAGGGTTTTTAGTGGTAAACCGAAGCACCAGGAGGAAATCTATGCAGGCACAGGGAGAACATGTAAATTCCACCAGAAAGGCCCTGTTCCGACCGGGATTTGACTCCAACTGTGCCGCCCATGTGTCATGTCACATGAACAAAAACGAGCAATTGGTTGATGTTTTTTAAGAAAAGTTTGGTCCTGGACACAAAGTGTAATGTGAGCGTTTATCCAGTATGTTTCTCCTGATGCGACAGACTTCTACCAATCTGTTCACACTGGTCCATCCATGGCATCAAGTTTATGAAAGTCTGTAGTTACAGTTGGTCTAGTGCTTCTCTCAAAAGCCTACAGCATCATCGCAAAGGGATAAAAACCCCCAATAGCAAATCACACAAGTGTAATGTTTTTCATTTATAACTGAGCCTCGGATCTCTATGTCCATAGCAGTTGACCTAGTTGACAGTTGGCTTATTGCACTTGTCTTGTTTGCCTCCTGTTAGACCCAGTGGTGGCGTCGTTGGTCACCGATATCTTCAAGGAGTTGGCACAGATTGAAGGATGTCAAGGTCCAATGCAAATGCGCCTCATCCCCACATTAATTAGCATAATGCAGGCGCCGTCCGACAAGATTCCCACTGGGCTTTGTGCTGTGAGTAGTTTTTTTGAGCTGCCAGCACATTGTAATTCATTTTACTTGAAATTGCCATTACTAATTTATTGCCAATACTCAGTTTTCATTTTTTCAAAGCTGAAAACTAAGTATGATAGAATTACATCATACTATTACAGGACTGACACTGGAGTGTTTAAATAAAGGGGGAGGAGTTACATGTTTGTGCGAGAAGTTCCTGATATTGGCGTGGGTGAATAAAAGTTGTTTTATTTTCTTTGTTGCTCCCTTATAGACGTCCATAGATATTCTGACCACAGTGGTGAGGAACAGTAAACCTCCATTATCTGAGATGCTTGTCTGCCAGGCCTTTCCTGTGGTGGCCCAGTGTACTTTGCGCACGGACGATAACGCTATAATGCAGGTGAGTTCTATTGTGGTCATGCGCCTTGTGTTGTTAATTTAAAGCCATTCGTTCTCCATCTGGCAGAATGGCGGGGAGTGTCTTCGTGCCTACGTGTCGGTGGCTCTGGAGCAGATCGCTCAGTGGAGGGACGAGCAGGGGAACAGTGGACTGTGGTACGTCATGCAGGTGGTCAACCAGCTGCTGGACCCCCGCACCTCCGAGTTCACCGCTGCTTTTGTGGGCCGCTTGGTGTCCACTCTGATCTCTCGAGCCGGGACGGAGCTGGGAGAACAGCTCGATCAAATCCTCCGGGCGATTCTGAGCAAAATGCAACAAGCAGAAACGCTCAGTGTGATGCAGGTACAGTCACGTTTTAAGTAACACATCCATGCAAAATCTTGAGTTTGACCCGTGTCACATGTTACAAACTTAGCTGGAGTCGTTTTTAGCTCCACCCACACTGATATCAGGAAAATTGTAGTATTTGGAGTCTCTCAGAGCTCATTTCTTGTTTCCATGTGGCCCTCTGACCTTTTCCTGTCTGCAAACTGTATATAGTCTCGCTGTTTTTAAATTAAAGGAAATTAATACCCAAGGAAGGTTTGCAACTTCATGAGTGCTACAATGGTATGTTATACCTAATATTTTTGTTTTTATCTTTATTTGAATTGGGACAGTGCACATTGATCAACATGCGTTTTTCAACATGTAAATGTGCCAGAGTTAGTCATGTTGGCTATTTTTCATCAAAAGCATTCATCTGCAATACTTCGCCATCTTTAGCTTTAGTCCAGCTTTAATTCAAGCAAAGCAAAGATGATAGTCTAAAGTAAAAAAAAATATAAAATTTAAATTAAAAAGAAATACTTAATATTTAATAAAATAAGAATATCCTCCAAGTCAGTCTCATTGTAAATGGGTGAAACAAAAATATAGACCCTGATGTGAAAGTTCAGCCAACATACAAACTCAAAGGTAACATTGGATATCTTCAGGTTTCCCTCTTTCTCTCCAGGGAATACTTAGTTTTTCAAATGCACACTTTTTGTATTTTTTTTTAAATTGATGTAGCTTACACTCAAATATGATGTTTCAAGTTCAAAAAAATGTTAACCACATGAAAACGAGGTTGGCCTTCCGCAATTTACCAATATTCCAAAGTAGCCCCCCCGGAGAAAATAATTGCCCTCCCCTGATCTTGATTTCCAATTTGATTTATTTACATGCTAACAAAAACAAAACTGGTATGTCCATCCATCTGCAAATTAGACTTACAACTGTGACTATAATAAGAACTTGCTATGTTAGATGTATAGATCTAAATGTTGCAGTTATGTAATATGAAGGCAAGGTTGTGGTCTACATCGATCCCCATTAGGTAATTGGTCCTCTGCATTTGACCCATCCTGCAATGCCACTAATATCCCCACTTTAAACTCTACTTGGGAGTCTCTACTGCAATCTCTTCTACTTCAGTAATTGTCTCTTATTCAAAATCATGAAATGCCTCTGTTAATGTTTAGGGTTCATAATTGTAGTTCTTTAAAGTCTTTGACCAGAAGGACAATGCTGAATATTCTTTATGTGCCCCTGTCTCTCTCCAGTCTCTGATCATGGTGTTTGCTCACCTGGTCCACTCTCAGCTCGAGCCGCTGCTGGAGTTTTTGTGTAGTTTACCTGGACCCACTGGAAAACCAGCTCTGGAGTTTGTCATGACAGAGTGGATGAGCCGGCAGCACCTTTTCTATGGACAGTACGAAGGAAAAGTCAGGTAAGATGAAATTTTTTCTTGAATACGATCAATCTAAGTGACAAATCACACCTTGACATTCATCTCACTTAAAGCTGCACTAACTGATCTGGAGACATTTTCAAATGCGAGCGATGGCCTCAAGCTCTCTGCTCGCCCTCCCCACACCCACGGAGCTTTCGCCCCCCCCACTACCCATTCCCCCGCAGCCTGTGCTCTGTGCTGTTGTTAGCTTCGGAGCTAGCGTCTCACAAAATGGCACTTTTGCACGTGGAAGGCGTGACCATAGAATGACAGAACCGGGAAGCGCGGAGAGGACGAGACTTTCTTTTGGATGGATGTTTCGCTGTGTAAGCAGTAACGAAGACACAGGAAGATTCAGGTTAGCCTCGGCCGCTTGTTGTGCTAACTCAGCTGTCGGTGCTAACCAGAGACCTATGGCTTTTCTCAAGAAAGCGGGGGTCAGTGGTCCGCTGTGATTGGTCACAATCTGAGAACCGAAACACATTCTCTTCCTTGTTTCATGAAAACTCGATCTAAAATATGTTACGCCAGCACAAACCTGCGCTACTTATTCTTCAAAAGGACGTATATTCCAATGCACTGCATGGATATGGATTGCATTTTCGTAATGAATACGAAAAAAGTCATTTAGTGCAGCTTTAAGACTTTCATCTTGTCTGTCGATTTAATGCTCAATCATTTGTTCTGCATTAGCGATGGGAATGTTGGCCCTCTGACCGATATGTTTCATCTGCTGTGATCCGATTTTAATTAATATTTATTTGCCACAACAAACGGCGCGATATATAAAGCATTTGCATCTCTTTTCACATGCCACAGATTTTTTTTGGCCGTGATTTGAAACCACTGCCATTTCATTTTTTCCCAAACGTCATTTTAAAATACAGACTTTATTATGGAATATTATGTTTATTCAAGCTCTTCAGGAATAGTTTTAGTGTTGTGGAGGGAGTATTTTCTTTCTCTTCCTGGCGTGATGTCTCCAGAAAAATGCTTCAGAAGTTGAGCCTTGGTGGGAAGGTAACATTACTGGGCACATTGTGATAACATATTGCACATTCTTACAAATACTACAATAAAAACTGTCAAGGCCTACAAGTAGAATCTTGTCACCCTCCAGTTGACTAAACTTCTCCTGTCATGTTTATGCGTTTACAGCACAGTTGCTTTGTGCAAACTCTTGCAACATGGTCTGAACGCTGATGACAAACGACTCCAGGACATCGTGGTTAAAGGAGAGGAGATCTATGCCCCGTGTGAGGGAATACGTACTCGCTCCAAATCAGCCAAAAGTAAGGCACACTGCTGAGTTTACCCAAAGACGCACACAGAGCCACAGTGGAATACAGATTACAATACATGAATAAAAAACCTTTTAAAGAAATGCACATAATACTATGTGCAATACTATGTGCATCTCTGTGTGAGTCTGCAGGGAGAGCTCTGGGCTCCATTGTGAGTAAAATGAAAATTGTCCCAGACTTAAGTTTCTCTGTTTATACACAACTGTATGACTCTTTGGTCAGCTCTATTCTATTCTATGCAGCGGGAGTTTGGGGTTTCAAGGAGATTGATCACGTTAATGCTCTCCAGAATAGAGCTATTAGAACATTTTTGGGAGTGCATAAATTCACCCCAATACCAGCGATACAGGGGGACATGGGATGGGAGCCGTGTCTCATTAAGCAAAGGGCTGAAATGGTGCGTTTATGGAACCGCCTCATCCAGCTGCCCAATCACAGGCTCACAAAAAAGATTTTTATTTGGAATTGTTCAAACAATTACCCCTGGTCTAGAGAAATGGCGGAAGTGTTCTTAAGTTCTCATTTAAATTATGTTTATTTAAATAAACTAAAATGTGATAAGTTTGTTTAGACAAAACGCATTAACAGAGTTTAAAGCACAATGGAAACTTGATATTTGCACGAAACCTAAGTTAAGACTTATTAATTATATTTTATTCAAACAGGAGTTTTACACAGAACTGTACGTACAGTTAAATGTACCGAGAAGGCAGCGCTCTCTGTTAGCCCAGCTGAGGACCGGCACTTTGCCTCTAGCAGTGGAGGTGGGCCGCTTTAAAGCGGTTCCTGAAGAGGCCCGTCTCTGTACAGTGTGTGACCTGGGGGTGGTAGAAGATGAGCCTCATTTTGTTTTGTATTGTCCACTTTACTTTGAATATCGAAACATTTTATTTGAAAAAGTGAATGCTTCTAACCCAGAGGTTTTTTGGTGGCCTGAGGGAGAAATTATGAACTGGATGTATTGCCATGAAGTTTTTGCCTTTGCTTCTTTTGTTGCTAAAGCCTGGGAGAGGAGACAACAGATTCTGTACCCTGGATAATGCACCAAATTGTAAATCTTTTTCTGTTTTTCATGTCTGTATATGGTCTGTATATGGTCTGCAGCCATCAGATGTTGTTGTCCAGTGTCATATAAGCCCATGTGGGCTGGGCACTTTTGTGCATGACACTTAAATAAATAAACTCAAACTCAAACAAACTATGGACTGGGATTGTATTTTAACCCTCCAGTTCTTTCACCTCTGTTGCTCTGTCTGAGCCCCACTGTTCACCTGTGATGCATGGATTTAACACAACTTTCTTTCATTTATTTTGTCCCAAAGACCCAGAGCGATGGACCAACATTCCCTTGCTGGTGAAGATTTTCAAACTTATTATCAACGAGCTGGCAACTGTTGTTGAGTCAAATGCCAGCAGAGCAAGTGCAGCTGACTGGAGTCAAGGTTAGTACTTCACATAGAACATTCCTTCAGTCCTTTTTTAAAGTTCAGACTTATCTGCATTGTCCAAGAAATTGGCAAAAGTCTAACAGAGGTACATTTTAACCTGAGGTTTAAGTTTTGCAAAGTGAATCTTGGAAGACCAGGTCAATAAAAGGTATAGGTACTGGACATGAGCTCAAAATAAGCTGCATTTTTGTTCATGGACAATAGTTTGTAACAGAAAAACCACATAGTTTTAGATTTACTTTTTTCATGTTCTAACTATGACACCGCATGAGTCTGATGTAAAAAAAACAAAAACAAAATGTCTTTACATCAGACTCGACTGGGATGTGGGAGGAGGACGAAGATGAAGGGGACGATGATGAAGAGGATGATGAAGGCCTCGCGGGACAGCTGCTTTCCGATATCATTGCCTCTAATAAATATGGTCAATCCATTTTCTGTTCTCCAGTTTCCAATGTTCCTTCTACGATCTCGTTAAACGTGTTAATTGCTGTGTACAGATGATGACTTTTATGAAGATGATGAAGAGGATGATGCAGACGCTTTAAAAGACCCTATCAATCAAATAGACCTTCAGGTAGAGTTTCAAGATAATGAAAATGCACCAATTTAAATGTTGGGGTAAATGTGTTATAGTCACGTCACAGAAGACCCTTATGAAGTCTAATAAACCATTGTCTCCTAAACCTGTTAAAATTGAATGATTTGTTGCGAGTGTGCTGAAATATATTTGTTTTGTCTTTTGTTCAGGCTTACTTAACGGACTTCCTGACACAGTTCGCACAGCAACCTTGTTACAGCATGTTTTCAGGCCACCTCAACAACAACGAGCGGCAAACCCTGCAGTCAATCGGACTTTAGCCCTGCCTCAAACTACTGCATCACTTGAATATGAATTTAGAGCGTTTTTGAGTGGAAGGACTTTTGGAGATGAGCTCTAAGATTCAAGAAGTCCACTTGTCTGTTGCTCCCGGTTCCCCCTTGTTTGTGATGGGACAAAGAACTTGGAAGATGTTCAAGAAGATACTAAATGACATTTATGTGGAGATTTCAGACATTTTGATGTCTTCAGCACTTAAGAGAAGCAGATATTTGAAAAAGGGTTGCAGAGTAAATTATTAAACATGAACATTTACTTCTTTGTCCTGTTTGTAAGTCAGCCCTTTGTCTTTGCGTCTCTTTAAACATGGAGAACCCAATATTACAATCTTCCTGATGCATGAAGACGCATTTCAGCTGCCTTATAATCCAGTGGACAATGACTGTTTCTTATTTGTATGAAAAGCTCAAAGACCTGCCATCATGACTAGGGAAGATGATGGTATTTAGGAACCCTCACTGTTACAATGTCGTAATCACCATTGTATCACCATTTCCCTTTTCAGATGCTGAATTTATTACAATTGTGAAATATCGCATAATGAATTATCCATATTTTTTGTATTTTTTGTCTTCTGCAATACACCATCTTAAAAAATCTATTTTTGAGAACTGTGTGAATTGACATCAAACGAGCTCTGGACTGAAGACTAAAAGTGAAGAAATAATACGTGGTTTTAGTGTTAATCCTACTGGACACTGGACTTGTTTGTCTTATTGTCGGGGGTAAAATTTTACATTTTAAAGCTTAAATAAATAAAAATTGACATAATATAACGGAACCGTACGTGTTTTTTTCAACCAGTGTGATCAGAGAGCATCGTCTAATGTTATGGGCGTGGTTTCACTGATTCCGGTCTCCTTCGGGTCAGATCTGGCACCCCTGCACCTCTAGGCGCTATGTAAATGCTACAGCTAGCCCAGCATCGCACTGTTTAGCTCTGCTGCGCTTTTTTTGCATGATACTTTTCTTTGTGTTATGATTTTAAACTTGGATATGAGATTTCCTGCTGGGAGCATGTCTCTCACCGCGTCGTGTGTGGTGCTGCTCGCCGTGGTGCTGAGCTCGTCCCCGGGTAAGCTCTGTGTCCAGGCCGCTGCACTGTTATCCCTGCGGCGCCTGGTTATTTACCTCCATGATGACCACCTTTGCGTTTATTAAGCGATCACCATAGACCTGTTGAGTTCAGGTTTTATTTCATATTCAGATTTAAAACGTCTAGAAGACCCTGACATTTAAAGCGCATTTAGTGTAATCGCTAAAGCTTCTGGTAGCGTTAGGAGCATTATAGCTAGGTGTGTGTGTGTGTGTGTGTGTGTGTGTACGTATCTTTTAGCTATACGTATGTGTGTGGATGGATGCGTGTATAAAACCTGTGTTACCATGCATTTGACATTTAGAGCTGTCGTGTCTTGAATAAAACGTAATATCCAAAAGAGTCAAAGTAAAATGTTGTGGTTAAATGAGACCACAACATGCTGCCTTTATCTCATTAGAACACATTGTATATGTTGTGTACTTGTGCAAAAGAGCCCTGTGAGTCACTATCTGCCTCTATGAGCTGAAAGATGATTGGCTGAGTGGGGCTGGGGGGGCTCTTTAATCATTTGAAAAAAAACGGATGTGGCCAGAAATGTATACAAACTTGTTGAATAGTTTTATTATGACTTGTATAGCTCTATTTTATTGTGGTTTGAAAGTTAGGTACCAAAGCTTTAAGTGCTCAGTAAGCTTACTTTAAAAAAAAATCTCTCTGGAGATGTACTTTCAAACACCATTGAATTATAAAGAATTATTCCTCATAGGCATTGATATACTGAATATATATTATAAATTATATACGTAAAATATAACAGGTTTGGGTGTAATTATATAAATTTTCACAGTGAATAATGATGCAAAAGGACCGTATTTATAAAAGAGTTGGCCTTTAAACTTGCCCCAGACCAAGCAACGTCCTGTGTTTACAGGTTATTGTTTATGAAAGGAAAATATCGGCCACTTTTATGAAACACACAGTTGAGGATGTTTGGTTGCCTTTAAACCCTATAGCTGACACCAACCACTTAGTCACAGTGGGACTTTGTGAATTTTCATTATAAGGTCTTCCATAATATAGGTCAACTACAATTGCCTGTAATTGCAGTTTTTTAAAGAAAGGTGGAACGTAAACAAATGTCTGTCCTAGGTTGGACCAGTGATTGGAAAACCTGACAGTCTTATATTACTTGTCTTGCAGTGAGTGGAAATGAAGATTGTCTGTGGTATGTGGATAAAAACGGCACATGGCACAATGGCTTTGACTGCCCTCTCATCACCTTTTGCTGCGGTAATTGCCACCGCCGCTACTGCTGCCTGGATGCCTTCAAGATGATCACGGAACGTGAACAAAAGCGATGCATGCTCTTTCAGTTCAGGTGAGGCCCACGTCTGTAATCTCATTGACTTATTAATGTGGTTGCACCAAGACTCAGAGGTTGGGTTTACCTTTGCCAGGATTATGTGTCCTTTTGTGTTTCAAAACATTCACCCAGGGTTGATTATTCTCTCACCTTATCAATCATCGTTTATGATCTCTTAATACAGAGATGTAGACTAACTAGAATTCATTTGTAGGACCAGAAACAATTGTAATGTACTTGAGTCAGTAAGGTTGATATGTCAAAAAACATGGCTTCCATAGTCACTAAATGTTTTGATCTCTATTTACAGTATGCTCTCATTTTATCTTAGTCTAAACAGGTAACAGTGGTTCAGTTGTTGTTTTGTCCCTGGACAAGACACAAAACCCCACCCCCTACCCCTTACAGGAGTATCTTGTAAAGAGGATGAATGGGGGATATATTGTGCTTTTTCACGTAATTGTATTTTTGGGTTATAAGCCAAACATTGAATTTGCAATTTCGATATATCTTTCTTGGCTACTCTGAAAGCTTGTCTTTTTCACTGTCTGTTCAGTGACATGTTTCAAATTTCGATTCTAGTTGTATAAATAAGGGGGAAAAAGTGGAAACATGATTTCTAACCTCCTCTCCTGCTTTTGTGACTTTCTTCAGCCCCACTACTCTGGCTGGCATTGCCTCATCAATTCTGCTGTTTGTGGCTATTATTGCGACTATGGTCTGCTGCTTCATGTGCTCCTGCTGTTACCTTTACCAGAGAAGACAGCACCGAGGGAGGACGCCTTACGAGGGTATGCCTTGGTTTCATTATTATTGCCTACAATCTTACTATAAAATGTAAATATTAACCTGGGCCTGTTACTTTGATTAGTATTTCAACTTATCGCTCAATAAATGATGGCTGGAACAACATAGTTTTGGACCCTTTCTTTACAATAGCAGGGACATTTCAGCTAATATGACCAGATATGCCTTGGGTTACTCACTATTAAACAATATATGTAATTAACCAATCTATCTAAATATAAAAACATAAAACATTGAGTCTCACTGGCTTCTGAGCCTGTACTGAGGCTGATGGCTGTATCATGGTCTGGTCCTGTCTCTTTTGTCTGTGTATTTTCGACCACATATTTATTTAAGCTTTTTCAGACAGAAAAGTGAAAAAGAGAGGACCCTGCTCACTCAGCCAATCAGCCCTCAGCCCAATGCCTTCAATAGTGACTCTTAGGGCTCCTTCACTCTGTAAAAGATAACGATGAAGATGGCCTGTTGTGGTCTGCTTTGCTCAGAATATTTTAATTTTACCAGACAGTTCTGTACAAAAAAACATATGTTAGATGACAATAATGACTACTTTACTGCGCTCACGCTGCTGATAATGATCTCAGTGTTGTTTCATTACTAGCAACAACATCAGCAGAAGCTATATATCCACCATAATTATTTGTAATCATGACCGGCTGAAATCTAAGTCGAGTAGGTTGTCTTTAGAATTTAATCTTAAAGACATTATATTTAACATTATTTCCTCCATCCTAAACCACTGGAATACAAAAATGCAATGCTTGGTGTGTTTCCAACTCTAGCCCAGCACATCCCAATGGCCAGTTATCCAGTGGAGCCCATGTACGATGCCTACGGGAAGCCTTTAGGACCAGCAGAGTACTTGCACGCAGGCTACCCAATGGCCCCTCATTATCCAGGCATGCCGGTTCACTACCCCATGATGCACCCTGGTCCATATCCACCACCCCCTATAGATCCTGCCTACAGCCAGGGTAAGCACCGACTGGTTCATTATAAAGCTAATGCAAGGAACTAGAGGTGAATGTTTTGTTTGTTTTTTGTTTTTTGTCCTCAGCCCCGCCTCCGTACTCACCGCCCCAGTATCCAGGGCACTGATGGCGTCGCACAGCAGAAGTACGACAGCGGAAAGAGAGCGGAACACTCGAAAAGGCAAAAGAAGAACAAGAACAAGTTGATACAACAATAGCCCAAAAAGATATTTGACTGAGGTTTTGCTAGAAATTACTGCACTTTAGGCATTTTGGAAACAGCTCCACTTGCCGTAAGACTGAATACATGTGTGAAGCTGAAATTTTATTATGATAGCACCTTCTGCCAGTTTATATTCCTATGCCTAGATTTCTCTCTACTTTCTAAATTGAGAACTTGGCCTTCATGCAAAAAAGTACATAATTGACAGTAATTAAATGCACCTACATAATGTGTCATTTGGATCTGAAACTGAGAGAATTTCTAACTTTAAAGAGGACATAACATGCTAAATCATCTTTTCGCAGCTTTTGACCATGTTATAGTTATTCTCTCATGCCCATGGTGCTCTTCCCTGGTTTCTCTGGCCACCCCCAATCTGACACACACACTTACGTTTGCACTTGGAAGTTTACACACGCAGCCAGAGATTTTGGCCATAGTTTGGAGATTATGAATGATAACATGAAAAAACAGTGTTGTCCAGTCATTGTTACTGGTTGTGTGAAGCCATATCATATAGACATATTTTCTATTTTCAACATATAACATCTGTGGAGATCTCAAATGTTCAGTGCATGCAAGGCGGTCCAGAAATGTACAGGAATTGGAGGCTCTTTGGCTAGAAGAACAGGCATCTTTACCATCAGAGAGGATTAAGAGCCTCATAGTCTCTCAACTACCACGAGAGACTCCACTCTGTCATAGATGTTAAAGGGGAAACACTCATTTGAGTGGTTTGAAATTAAAACGTTTATTTGACAATAAAAGGCTTCATATAAGTTCACACAACCCTGAACAATGAGTGCATGAAAAGTGTTTGCGTTATCATTAAGAATCTCTAAAATATGGCCCCAAAAAAAAGTCACGCGCAATGAATTTGACAAAAAATGCACTTTGAAAGTTCTTCTAATAGAGTAAGAGTGTAAAGAAGCTGGTTCTGCTTAATTCCCTGACATGTTTGGGTGGTAGACTTCCGCCTTGGTTAGAGGTGACAATGCGGCCAGTCTTGACGGATCTGATGGAAGTCCAAACACATCAGGTAACCAAGCAGCTTCTTTACATAATCTCTACATAATGAACTTTTTACATTTAACTTCTTCGATGTGGCCACGTTTCTGCTGACGTTGCGTAGAGCGATACAGATGTGCAGAGTACAGAAGCCTTTTCTAACATTGTATTAGATCAGGGGTGTCATACAGGTCCTCAAAGAGTTCCAACCTGAGCCGGAGCACACCAGACTCCACCCATGCACCGTGCTCCTGCTGAATGCTGGACCTAAAACCTGCAGTTATACCGTCCCTTTTAGAGACACCCCTGTTTTAGAGTTGAGAGTTTTGAGCCGTGGGTGTCATACATTCTCACAATGCAGCAGATGCAGGTTATGTCCTTTTTAAACTGTCTAAAGTTCAAAGATTCTCCTATACTTTGCTTAGTGTTTTGCGGAGATACTGGAAACGGTGTGATTTGGCCTGGTTTTTGTAGATGCAGCCATTGCCTCGTTCTAAGTTTTGTCAACCCTCTATTTCTCATGCATCCCCTTTAGGCCGTACGTGCTGTCTTCTGTTAGCATCTCTACAACAGCATGCTACACCCAGTTCAACGTCTGTCCTTTTCTCTTTAAAGCTTTCGAATAGCTCGTCTTTTTGCTGTTGTCAGATGCAATTGAATAATATGTTATTTATTATTGTAACATATCAGATGGGAGGAGCTGCAGGTCAGGCCGTGTAGTTCACCTCACAACAAATAACAAGGTAATACATACACAATTACTTATTTTGTAAATTTTAGCTGGATATTTTATTACATCAAATGGCATTGTGCAGAATTTGACGGTGTCTCTTCCATTTTGCAAATTAAAGATCATCTATTATTCTTCCTGGAGTTAGAAATGAGTGAAGGCCTATTGCTGCGTACAGGTCTTTGACAACAAATGTTCCAACTTCTTGAAAGAATCAGGGATAGTAGCTGATTTTCCTACACAGCCATAAGTATTTTATTTATTATCCGATCAGTATTTGCATTTATAGTTTCAAACGTGGACAAACTTTATTTATCCACAAGGGACATTTCTAGGGACACACTTGATAAAATTGCAAAAAAAACATATTGAGCATTCTATACTAAGCACTAGAAAACCCAATGCGATTTATCTTTAGTAAATGTTGTCGGTCTTAACACCGGCCATTTTCACCTGAATGGAGAACAAATTTGCTACAACCCTTGAAAAAAGTTATTTTTGCTTATTCCATTAGCAGATCAAAATGTTCTTGAATCAAGATTAACCTTAAGAACCTTGTATCTAATTATTTTAAATATAGGGCCCATTTTTATTATTAGCCTTTTTTAGAACACACAACAGTTCATGAATATTAAAAAGACATCCAGTAACGGACAATAAGAAAGACATGTGTTATGAGCTTTTAAAAGAAGTATAAAAGTATAATTGTGGTCTTTACATCCTATGAGATTGAGCTAATAAAGCCATTTTTATAAGGCTTAATATTGTTGAAAAATGTTGGAATTTGACTCTTTACCTTTGAATTGGCTGCATAGATTCCAGGGCCGACAGATATTCGATAATATTGTGTGAATGATGTATTCAGATGACTACTAATGGTTAAGCACAAAACTTATATTTATGGTGAGATGCTTTTTATGTAGTTCCTTTTGCTCAATGCTGTTGATATTTATTTGTGCTCCATGAGTGTGTTTAAGAAGAGTTGAGTTGAAAAAACTCGTCTGAACGTGGCGTGGTGTCAGAGAACTAAGACATTGTAATATAGTGTGGTTTAATTTCTATTAACATAAACTTTAACTTTGGAAAAAAAGAAAATGTGTTTTTGTTTTGTTGACTCCTCAAAGTTTCTGTATCTCAAGTACTACCACTAGAGGTCAGCATAATTCCCACTTTAGGATTATTTAGCACACTCCATACATAAGGCAACTGAAAATGTTTTGCAAAATATAAATAGTTATGAGCCAAACAAGTAAAACAGTCTCAACACATTTACATTCAGAAGAAGAGCAGCGGAGATAACATTTTCAAAACCCTGAAAGGCCCCTTCATAATCCAGTCACATGTAAACGGGTCCATGTGTTTCACGTGTGTCCACCGATGGTGCATTAAAGGAGACATAGAAAATGTGCAGAAATATGTATATGAAATTGGATGTCTGAAACTTCATATAGAAACTCAAAACAAATGCATAAAGACTGACAACCAAGTAACCAGTCTGTGTCATCAGCCTCTCTGACCACCAACCACACTCTCTCTCACACACACACCAGACTCATACTGGGCAGTGTAGGTGAAGTGTCTTGCCTAAAGACAAAACCACAGTTTGTGCCCAGTGTAGCACCTAACGTTCCCAAAGGTCTCCCATCACAGTACTGACCAAGCTCTGCCCTGTCTCGCTTCTGAGGTTTTTCTAAGATGTTAAAAGGCTGAAAACATATTTGACATCTGTTACAAGAATTAACAAGTTAATGTATTCGGCAACTGAATTGACCAAAAATATCGTAAATAGCTTTTACACACTTAACATGAGGGTGATCACCGCTGCTAATTACTATAAGATTCTTGTTGCAAATGGTTTTTGACTATGTTTTTTAGATAAATATATAACCATCATTGAACTACAAATGCACATAAGAAGCTGCTATTGAGATAAATGTAATAAGAATATAATAATGTCTTAACAATACTAGAAAACAATGTGATAAAAGATTAGCCTATGGATAGTTTTTAGATTCAAGTCAAACAACCAGATGGAGAGAAAGGTTTCCCTTCATTGCATTGTACTTTGAACTTGTGTATTTCTAGAAGAATTCTCTATCATAACTTTTATTTTCCCCATCTGTCTTCAAAAACCTATTACCTTTTTAAATGAAGTGGTGCACTCCAAAACCTTGTAATACATATGCCAGAGATAGAGCCATCACTAGAAATGAAACTTTCGAGAGAACTGATCTTAAAACTGGTTATTGAACATATAATCCGACAGAATTAATACAAATATATATTGGGCAGTAGGAAATCTGTGTAGCTTGTGCTCTGGAGTGTGTATGCTGCAGCCCTTCCCATTACCATTAAAGGAGAGTGGACCCTGCACTAAATATGGACATGCACTTTCACAGGATTTTGAAGAATGTTTTTGCTCGCCAGTGCATTTTGATGATGCGAGCTTCGTGTAGTCCGTCACTGCGCCCCTTTAATGCAAGACAGCCTCCTCAAACCAGCTCAAACAGAATCTGCTCCCTTAGATTGTTTCTCTTGCCCACATTTAGGCTGTATTTACCCATTATATTTTAAAGGAGACGTATAGCACCCTGACAAATGATAGAAAACTCCAAAAATGTCCAGAAGAAAAATGAAGGGACTGACACAGACAGGGCGCCAGGTGAGCGAGGACCCGGATTTGGACAAACTGCTGTCCACCCTGTCTCCAGAGGAAGTCGAGGCGCTGCAGATAGACCTCAGCAAAGTGCCAGACATCAATCCAGAAGACGGAGCTGTGGCTGCCCGGGGAGAAAGCCAGACCCGGGACTCGAGAGGGGGTAACCAAAAGGAGAATGACTCAAACAGGAGGCTCAGTCAGAGGGAGCAGTCACTGGAGGTAAGAGCACACTGTAGACTAAAGGGTGATTTATGAGAACAGCCCAATGCTTCTCTTCTGTACTCATAAAATGTAAGAGGCAACCAACCCAATGTTCTGTGCATATGGTTTTGCCTGGTGAATGAAATGGTTAAAAAAGTTAACCACAAATACATTATAATCCTTCTAATGATTTCAGCTATTGCAACATATCTAATATTTCCAATGATCCTTTGGTCTCAATAAAGACACAGAATGATGTAACATTATGCGTCTTTTCAATGTAACATCATGGAAAAGACTCATAAATTCCTTTGATCTCCACTGTACTACTGTTCCCAAACACAAGAATAATTGCTGTAAACAATTCATAGCTTAAGATCGAATGGTCAATATGTGTCCCCACAATTATGTTTAGCCTCTGACTAATGGATTCCTCTGTTGCATAACAAACCTCAGCTCTGTGTAATGATAGCCCTCATATGGCATTTTTCTTTAAGCCAACAATCGCCTCGGCTCATAAGTGCTGGTCCCTCAAGCTGTTTCAGTGCCAGGAACTTTTTCTTTTGGGATTAGTTTGTTGCAAATCTCACATGCTTGTTTTTTGGTACCACAAATCAGAGAAACAAGGTTGTCTAAACTGTACTTGTGGTTCTGAACAGTGTCCTAATCCCAGTTTGAAGGAATTCCTTGGTTGATTGCTCCGACGCTCACTTCCTTTTAAGGATACATCTGCCAGAGCCAGCAAACAGATGGAGACTCACAAATCAAACACTTACAGAGCTATTCACAGCAAATGTATTCCAGCTCTGTAAAAAGGTTCCTTTGGGGACTGTAAACACTGGGCTCTGGAGATGAGAGTGTGTTTACCAGTGACCTCCTGGTCATGTGTGACTGACAAGACTGAAGTTTGGGCTGAGATGATGTTCAGTGATTACAATTCATGTGCAGGAGTAAAATATATACTTACAACATGAGATCTCCCACAGCAGTCAATTTGACAGCTTTTAGTTTAATTTTTGGTCCTGATAAGTAATAACCGAGTGACTGTATTTCTGTGTTTTTAGCAAATTATGTTTTACTTTTGAAATTTCAGTAATTTTATCTCTAACAACAAGAGCAGTCGGTTTTAACCAGTGTTAGTTTCCATAGTAACACATTGTTTACTTGCAGTTTGTTAGCATTTAGCCTTTCAACAAACTATTTTTCCTGTATTGCAAGTTATATTTACCAGTTAGCACTTATTAAAAATGAGTTGTGGGAATAAACCAAATAAATGACTTACTTTGAATAAATCTGAAGACAAATTAAACATTTTTGGGGGGAATGTCTCAGAATAGATTCCATTGGTTTGAATTGGAGCAGTCAAAATGACGGCTCTGGGAGTTCTTATAGTTTCAGAATTCAGGAAGTCCTGGTGTTGAAGAAGAGAGATTCAAACTTACATTGAAGGTCAGCCATGCAGCATTGAGCCATATACCTTGGCGTGGCATACGTGGGTAAAGTTAGAATGAGGGAGTGTTTTCACTGTAACGTCAATCTAAATAACATTTTGCTATGTTTGTTTCACAGCAGACAGACCCAAAGGACAGTCGGAAGCAGGAATACCCGAAGAGAACCAGCTTGAATCAAGAGGGGAAATGTGACACAAGTTCAAGTCTACAAAGAAAAAGAGAGAGCACCGCTAAAAAGTTGGACGACCAAAACAGCAAAGATCCTGAAAGTTTGAAGGGGAATAGAAGTCAGTTGTTAAGTAGATCTAAAGAAGAGGAGAGCAGCCGCAGTGAGGTTAACCAGAGAGACTATAAACTGCAACGAGAAAGTGTGGGCAGCAAAGCCAAGGATATGATTTCCAAGCTCCAAGAGAAGAAGGAGGACAAGGAAAAGGAAAGGAGAGAGGATTTTAGAAGAAGGGACGACAGTAAAACAAAAGATATAATCTCAAAACTGAAAGAAAAAAGTGAGAAAGATCTTTCCAAGGAGAGAAGATCTGAAAGTTTTCGCACACAGGGTCTGGTTTCAAAAATGTTAGAGAAGCAAAGTAAAGCACAGGAAAATCAGGAGAGCAAGACAGAAATACACAAAAGCAAAACAGCTGAGGAAAGGAACAGAAGTGATGTGAAAGTAGAAGAGAAAGCGGCTGGCAAAGGAGGTGAAGAGTTGCTCAACCACAGTGATCAGGTAGAAGAGAAAAGTAAGAAAGCAGTTGATCAGAAAGCAGATGATAAAAAAGCAGATGATGAGAAAACAGACGAGAAAATGACAGACTCGAAAGGGAAAGATAAAACAAGCACAACAGACATGAAGATCACAAACTGCGTGACCAACAACAGCCAAAAGACTAAGACAAAAGAGGAAGACGAGGATGAAGATTCCAGTATGTTCGATGAACTGATGGAGCAAGTTCGCACCAATGACCACACCCTCACAGAGCTCAATGTCAACAACTCTGAGGTCATCAAAACCAAAACACTGATTGAGTTTGCTGAAGCGCTGAAAAACAACACAAACATCAAGAGTTTTGCTTTGGCCAACTGCCGAGCTGACGACCACGTAGCCTACGCCATAGCGGGCATGCTAAGGCACAACAAGACCATCACAAGCCTCAATGTGGACTCAAACCTTCTCACAGGCAAAGGCATCTTGTCACTCATTCAAGCACTACAATACAACTGCACTCTGACTGAGCTTCGATTTCAGAACCAGCGCCATATTTGTGGTGGAAAAACAGAAATGGAGTTGGTGAAGATACTTAAAGATAACACCACACTGCTTAAATTGGGTTACCACTTTGAATTGGCAGGACCCAGGATGACGGCGACTAATATTTTGAGTCGCAATATGGACCGACAGAGACAAAAAAGGCTACAAGAGCAGAAACAAGCACAAGCAAATGGTGAGAAGAAAGGAACGTTGGATGTGCCCAAAGCAGGATCTTTAAGGAATTCACCCAAAACGTCGCCCAAACCGTCCCCTATCCCATCCCCAATGCCATCTCCTAAGCTGGCCTCCAAAAGGAGAACAGTGGGAGGACTGATGACACCACCACCACCTCCTCCACCTCCAGCTGGTGTACCTCCGCCTCCCCCTCCACCAATGCTGGACATAGACTTGCTGAAAAACTCACTCACACCAGTTTCACAAAGAAAATTAGATAGTAAAGGCACAGGAGGGAGTAAGAACTCAAGGGACCAACTGCTGGCTTCAATCAGAACAAGCAATATTCACCATCTTAAAAAGGTCTGTATATCTTGTCAGCCAGCGTCACAATACACATTTGAGAATTTTCATTATTGGATTTATCAAATTTAGTTTATTTTATGCGTTATCTAAAATCCCAACGTTGATAGATCTCAGTCACTAGGCTTGTTAACATTATCTAAATAATGCACTGGTTTTATATAGTGCTTTCTGGACACTCAAAGACGGAGCTTTCACATGTCATTATTCATTCACTACATAGACAGTGGTGATAAACTACTACTGTAGCCACAACTGCCCTGGGGCACAGTAATAGAAGCGAGGCAACCAGTGTCTGCCCTCCGACCACCACTTACCCTTCATGCATACACCAGACTCTTTCCAGTCAATGTGGGTGAAGAGATTGTAAATATTACAATTGACATATTTTTCTGTCCTAGGTACCTGTGCCAAAGTGGCTGCAGTAAGAGGTTGCAAAGACACGCCTCTCACCACAGACCGAAACACTTTCAAGAATTGCATGGACTGAAATGAATATGATCTGATTCACTGAGAAGGTGCCCAACAAAAAAACATTGAGAGATATTTAGATGAAAGGATTGTATACTACAAGAACTTTGAATATATCTACAATAAACAACAGGTCATTGGACTTAAGCCAAGCATCACACACTGGACCAAAGGATGTTATGAAAATGAATGTATAATGTTTGTTCGTAATATTGCTTTGCGCATATGAGTATTTGCACTAGAATATATAGCGGATATAATATTATGCATTAAATGGTTAAATACAGTAACATTGTTATTGATAATATCACCCTATTGATGGTAGGACTATTTATTTACAGAGCCATAAGTTTGGGATTCATGCTTTTGGAATGGGAAATTCAGGGAATTTACTAACATTATGAAGACGATTTTTATTTTGTGCCAAATGGTTTCAATTAGGGCAGTGGTTACTTCATTTGAAATGCTCAGAATCAAAAGATGCTTCCTGGGATTGTTTATAAATTGCTCAGTATGATCAGAACATGTTATGGTTTACAGCATTTTAGTTATAAAGTTACGATAGATGGAACCCATTTGTTGTTAGGTTTGAATGTGTTGAGAATGATACATTCGTATATACCAAAACCTCTGTCTCTAAATAAATGATCTGATGTGTTACAAAATTGGTAGCCAACCTTTGTTTGAACTATCAATCTTAAATATTTTTAAGGAGGATGCAAGTGGGGCACATGAGCAGCTTAGATTTAGATGTATTCGAGCTTTGAGCTTTTAAACATGTACATGCATTGTTATAAGCATTTACATTAAACAGAAATTCCTGTGAGTAATAATACATAACATGTGCCAAAAACGTTATACACAGCTCGAAAAGGGAGTGAGAAGAAGTAAACTTATGTACTCCCACCCTCTCCCATTACAGACAAGCGGTTGCAATTTTTTATATAAACATACATTTACACAACACTGTTAATCAATACAAGAATGTGGCTACTGAATTCAGAACTACAGCAGCCTAAATTCCTAAATGTGATAACTCATTTGAACTGTTTTTGTTTAAATATTTAGCGTGGCCCCCTGTTCACTGATTCAGTTAAGGGCTGTGTGGACAAACATCAGCTTTGTGTTCACTACACAGAGCAGTTAGTTTGTCTCCATCGCTCTCCGTCTGCATCCATATTTGGGCAATTCTCAATGAATACTTGCTCTGCCATTCGTTTCTTTCTTGTGCCCAATAATCGACCCGACATCGATCTTTTTACTACGGTATAGTAGTAGTAAAAATACATATATATCTATACAATACTAGACTAGACTAGACTAGACTAGACTAGACTAGACTAGACTAGACTAGACTAGACTAGACTAGACTAGACTAGACTAGACTAGACTAGACTAGACTAGACTAGACAGTAAGACCTTGTTTGTCCTCCAACCTACAAAATTGTTCCAATAAAAATATGGGACCATTTTCTTTTCTTTTTGCTGCAATAATGTATTATGTCTATGACAGCAATCGTACATAGGATATCCTGGTAACAGTTCCATGTATAGTACTTTTTGTCCTTTTACCACAGTGAAATGTTTCATTTGTATTTGTGAAATAAAAAATTCCCCAAGATTATACTTAAATGGATTGATAGATTTTTCAAAGGGCATGATCCACTTGCTATTAGACCAAATTATACATTTTCTATGTTTAAACTGGTTTTCCATGGTCCATTGGTTTTGGAACTGACAGACACCCCAAAAGGCATACATTCTTAAAATATATGCACTGCAGTTGCCACATTTGCTAAGCAAAATAATTATTTCTCTATCAAAACAAAAACATTGCATAAACAAGGCGCATGGATGGATGTGACTCAGGTTATGCTCAGGTTATGCTCATGTTATGTTATGACCATAGTTATGACGCGTAATAAAGAAGGGGCGTGTATGTACGCATCGTCAGGTGTTACGTCAGAGGGAACGTTCAGGGAACAAAATGGAGGAATATGCCAGAGAGCCTTGGTGAGAACTTTCCCAAATATTATATTATTCCCGATTTCCAAAATGTTTCGTTACCTGAAAATAGTACGATATGACTGACTCATTGACTTTCCCATTAAGTTTGTAAATACCGTTTGTTAGCATCAACGCTAGCTTCACATAGACCTGTGAAGAGTGTGTGCTAGCATCAGGGGTTATATCACGTTGTAGTGACCTTGCATGGTCCACATGTCGTTTATTCGAAATGGTCAAAATTGACATCTCTTAGCCTTCACTCTAAAGACCGTAGGGAGACGCCAAAACACTCTAGTTCACGTCATTCGTTGTTGTTGTTGCTATGATTACGAACGATTGCAGTATGAACTCTTGAAGCTAAATGGCTAGTTAGCTTTTAGCTTAACTAGCAGCTCGTGGCTCAGCTAGATCCAAGTCTGACATTAGTTAAGATAACCTAATAGCACCTACATAACATGAGCCTTACGTCTTGGGCATTCATAGTTTGATTACTCTAAACAATCTAGCTGGGACAAGAGGGTTGTCAATGCAAATAACTTTGTTAGAACGCTTCGTGCCATTTCTCTCATTTCTAGATCTGGAATGTTTCTCCTGCTGTACTTCCGAGTCCCTGTAGAATAAGAGTGCGCGCAGGGTCGTTCTTCTTGATTAAAAGGTTTTCAAGCGGTTAGGCGCAATTGTTACTCTAAAGTTGCATTGCTGTTGTTGTTGTTTTTTTTTTTTTTTAAATATAGCTGTCATATGTATTTAACTGCATTCTGACGTTAAAAGAAACAACCTGGCTTTCGCATTTATTGCCATTATTTTACATAAGAAAATGTACATTTTTAATAACGTTGTTGTAAATTTACCAAATCATTTGCTTTAAAAAATAACCTTTCTCCTGCTTTCACGTTGCAAATATGTATTTACTGTAATCCTTCATGTTCATTTGTGCTGTCAGTTAATAAAGGCGTAACATGTGTAGGATGTATGCTTAGCAAATGCTTTACTGTAATAATAATAAAAATAAAAATACATCTGTTTTTGCGTACATTTATATACCAGTACTTACAGGACTATAAGATGCTATATAGGTTTTTTGACCTCTGCAGCTTATGTAGATATGCAACCAATGTATGTTGTTTTATTTTGTTTGAGGGCCCCTTAGTGTAGGAACCGGTTTTGGACACAACTTTATCAGCTATTGATCTCCAGAGCTAATGACATGTGCCACAGAGAGAGCTGATGCAGAAGAGAGCTGATGCAGAAGAGTGTTGGGAAAATACACAGGTCTTATTATTGATGTGATTAGGTCAAAGCAAAGTTTATGGACTTATTATTTTGACTCAAAATCAAGTTTTAGTTGGAATGTTATTGTCAATAATAAGCTGATGGTTAAGTGCTTAACTTAACAAGAAACCTGTGGCTCATATTCAACTACTTCCTAAATGTGTAAAAAAGGATTTGTCTTAAAATTATATTATATACATAGTTTATATACAGGGGGTTTTAATAGTCCAGCCAGTACTGACTGTAAACATCTATTCCAGCGTATGTAAATATGAGCTCACAGTGATTAAATGTCTATACTATATCTACTGTATAACCAACGTATACTCTCTGCTTTTGTAGTCCATGGAGGATTGTTGATGACTGTGGAGGAGCTTTCACCATGGGGGCTATTGGTGGTGGCATTTTTCAGGCTGTAAAAGGTTTCAGAAATGCACCTTCAGTAAGTATGCCAATATTTTACATACAATACTTTTATATAACTAACACCTATCAAATGTTAAACTTTTTGGCTTTAATGTTTGTAGGGTATGAGTCACAGAATGAGAGGGAGTTTAACAGCCATCAAAACTAGAGCCCCGCAGCTCGGAGGTAAAGTGTTTTACTCATGTTTGATATTTATTTTCCATGGTTCATTGGTTTTTGTAAAACACGTGTTTCTATTTATTACAACACATGCATCAATAACAATATCCTGTATGTTGTAATTTATGAATTTGCCTTTAGGGACTACAGATAACTTTGTAGCTATAATCTGGCATGTTTGCGTTTGTTTTATATTTATGTTCATGAATCTGCATTGTCACTATAAAATACATTAAAAGTATTTACTGTTTGAACATTATTTGTTCTTCTGTTGTAACCTGTATGAAAATTCAGCTATATTATACAAGTTTCCATAACCCTACCCCATGATGAAAAGGAGCCTAGTTGTTTCCAAATTGTCATTTTTGCTTTTGTATTTGTTACTAACAAAGTAATTTTAATGAATTCTTATCAGTAATTAATTCTGGACATTTTACACAAATTCTACATTCACAGGTGTGTCTGTTAGTTAGCAAGGTAATTCGCATTTCTACGGCATTTTCAGTACATTTCTGAAATGAGACACACAAATTATTACATTTTAAGGTGATCCGAAACTGACTCTTGACAGAGGTCTCCACTTTGATTATTTATTATAATAAATTTACCCTTAAAACATTTTAGTAACATCTATCCCATTGTGCCTTCAGGGAGCTTTGCAGTGTGGGGAGGTCTGTTCTCTATGATCGACTGTGGTTTAGTCAAAGTACGAGGCAAAGAAGATCCATGGAACTCTATAACAAGTGGAGCTATGACCGGAGCTATCCTCGCTGCCAGAAGTAAGTACCTCATCTCAGAATATTGATTACGATGCAGTGTATTTTAATAAAGATGATAAAGAATTTCTCGCCGTCCTGTAAACTATCTTTTTACAGTAGTAATTAGTAGTAATCTTTATTTATATACCGCCTTTTCACTGCACATCGGAGTCTCAAAGCGGTTTACAATTGTTATTTTTTTGGGAGTGGAGGTGCCAGTACAGGAGGCACATGCCAGACCTATTGTACATATTTGTTGTGCTAACCCAAACCGGAGCACCCGGAGGAAACCTACGCAGACACGGGGAGAACATGCAAACTCCACTCAGAAAGGCCCTGGTCCAACCGGGATTCGAACCCAGGACCTTCTTGCTGAGAGGCGAGAGTGCTATCCACTCAGCCACTGTGCCGGCCGTAGTGTATGTGTACAGTGTATGTCAGATTTAACGTGCAGTGAAGATGCAACTAGCAGAATGAAAAGGATGTTATTTTTTTAAAACAACCAATTTGGTTTAAACTCTGCTTCAGTGGCATCACTTTAGCTTTATAGGAAATACAATACGTTTAAACAGTCGTCTTGAATCCTAAGTGATCAGGAAGTGGCTGAAACAGTGGCTTTAAACTTTTATCATCAGGGCGCATTGGTTGTGTTTCAAGCAGACAAAATTGTATTTGCAACAAGGTATTCATCCATAATCTGAGCATATTCAATGGCCTTTCAAGATCTAAACAATGCATTGATTAATCAATAGGATAATCGTTAGATGAATTTTCCTAATCTTCCTAATCCAAACGGTAATAATGTGTCTTGTTCTGATAGATGGGCCTGTGGCCATGTTTGGCTCAGCAGCAATGGGTGGCATCCTCCTGGCGTTGATAGAGGGCGCTGGTATCCTGTTGACTAGATTCGCTTCTTCACAATTCCCAACTGGTTAGTAATATTGAACAATAGACACGTTCTCACATGAAAAGCATGATATAAATTAAGTTTACTTATTAATGATCTCTTCTAATTCTTCAGGCCCTCAGTTTGCGGAAGAGCCAGGCCCTGCCCCAATGGGATCCTCATCGTTTGGAGACTATAGACAATATCAGTGAGAGATGTTTACTCTACATTTGAATTCCTTGCTGAAGTTACCACAAATGGAGATGAAGACCATGCATCACTCATCACATGGACTATGGAAAACCTGCCTTCTGTCCTTTCAGCCATGTCATCTGCATCCTTTCCGTTGGGATTTGGCATGCTATGGAATTGCTTGTGTGTTGCTTTGAGATGTTTTTTTTTCTTGAGTGACATGGAACGTTGCAGATTAAAAAGAAAGATGTTGTAGATGCTCTATACTGCATAATATTACAGAGTCATTATTGACTCCGTAATATACTTTCAGACTTTGTCTACACTTTACCTCTATCTAGCCATCTTCAAAAACTTGTTTTTCAAATAATTTATTTATTCTGTTGCGTAACATCATGGGGGATAAAAAGTGTAACATTTGGAATGACAACTGACTGGCAGATGGCCTGGATAAACAAAAGCAAGGGATTGTTGATCATAATTTATGTCTGTATTACAGATTGATGTTCGTTTAGAAATAATAAATAAAATCTACAATAACACGTTTGTTACACTTCCCTGTGTATTGTCCACTAGATGGCAGCCTACCTTGAGCAAAGCATAGACACAGATGGATCTTACTAGTTTCTTTGGTTTTATCAGTCGGTATCCAGTTTTAACTTGTATAATGATATATACCTGGATGACTCATAATACTCATCTTTATCTGTCTTAAACCCTTTCCTCTTCTTAATATTGAGTAAAACAAAAAACACAATCCCTCAAACTTACATGACTGACTACTGATCAGAATAGTACAGTTTTGACTTTTGTTACTATTCTGTGATAAATCTGTCAAGGTCTGTTTATTTATTAATCTGATGTATTCTGTGTTAACAAGTGTAACAATGTTTGCAATTGATTGGATCTTTGAGTGTTAAATGAAATGTTAAAGACTATGACATTCAAAACGTTTATACAATCACTTGTGACATTTGATACCTGACTTAAAACATTCAAAGAGGAAGCCTGGTCTTGAACGCTTGAGACCATGTTGGTCTGATGGACATGAATGGGAAGTTGATTCTACAGCACAAGAGCTTTAGTTAAACATTCTATATCTTACTGTGCTTTTAGACACTCTAGGAACCAGAAGTCTTGCGTTTTGAAGTGCTTTGATTGATTTGACCCAAGGTATCCTGGAGGTAAGAAGGTGTCATACCATTTATGGCCTTGAATGTCAAAATTAGATTTTTTTTATTATTATCAGATCTTAGAATGATTGTATTTATTGATATCTGTATGAATTGATGTTTCTGCTGCTGGACAAGTGTATTTCTTCGAGGGACATCAATAAAGTATCTATCTAATCTATTGTGCTTTAAGGCAAAAAGGTCCTGAGTTCAATTCGACCTCCAGACGGGGTCTTTCTCTGTGGAGTTTGCATGATCTCCCCGTGTCTGCGTAGGTTTCCTCTGGGTACTCCGGGTTCCCCTACCACTAAAAACATGTGCAATTGGTCTGAATGTAATGAAAGCCTGAAATGATATGGTGATGGTCAGGGGCTTCAATACGCCATTGTGTTGGGAGTTTTGCTTTTATCGTTGCTGTGTGCCAAGAATGGGATTGTTTAAATTGGTTTCATTGATGAAAAAAAAAAAATAATACGCTGTAGGCAGTGGAAGTTAATACCGTATTTTGTTTTGTTGTATTATGTTGCCCAATAGTAGCAAAATTGGGTCTCCAAATGTTCGAACAAGGTGGGGACTTCTGATTCATGTTAAATGTTCATGATACAGGTAGGAGCCTGCCGTATTCTCTTGTACCTTCTGTGAGCCAGAGGCTTTGGTTGTAGGTCAAATGTTGTTGTTGAATGGCATATTGTATGTTTGTACGTAGATATGTGGTCCGTGTTCTTGAGATTGTGTGTTATTTTATTAAGTTTATTTTAAAAAACAAAAAATAATCTAGTATTATTTCTTTTCTCCCTAAAGAGACAGGGTGGGGAGCTCAGTCACATGGGAGGAGCTCGAAGTAGAGCCGCTGCATCTTCAGTGCAAGAAGGAGCCGCTGTCAGACTGTAAAATAACTCACTTTAGGTCACTCTTGCACTATAGGACTAAAAAACTGCACTACTATTGCCATTGTTTCTTTATTTGCCACTTTTTTTGTACATAATATATTTTTTTGCCTTTTGCATGCTTGCACACTTCTCTCTTTTGCACAAATCAGAGTGATTCTATCCATGCCAAATGTGACAAGTAAATTTCTCCAGTGTGAGATCAATGAAGTCCATCTTAACTTAACTTCACATTAAGAAGTGACTTGGGCATCTGTTTTGGATGTCTCTTTGGGGATAGGAGACCTCAGGGAAGACACACTGTTGCCATACATCACCAGCTCATTAGGAAACCCACGGATGAGTGGGAGGAGGGGGTGTGCTTGGACCATAGACAGAGGTTTGGGGTCTCTGCTTGGACTCCTACCTCTAAGACCCAGTTCTGGGCAATACATACAGTAGATACAATGAAAAATATAACATTTGTGGAGGTGATTTATGTAGCTCAAAAGGAGTAGGCAGAAGTATAAAATAAACACTGCCCTTCTGTGCATAATTTGATTAAATGTATGTTCAAAGTCATGCATACATTTCAGAACTGGAGTATTCATGTTGACTGTACCAGCATTAATGAATAACAGCTTTTTGAATTCTATGTCTTTAAGATGGTTTTATACGGGTTGCCCATAGACTGTAAAGTGTTACCCCAGATCTGATGTATGGCAAACAAAGTGGCCGAAAATGGATATGAACATGTAAGTGGAAAACATCTACAGAAGAGTAGTTTTAGAAAAAGTGGAAAGTTAATACAGAATTTATTGATTTACATTTTCTATTGTGTTAGCCATTCTATGTAACGTTCTCCACACTAAAGGCCACAGTGTTGAGCGGTCCTTATTCTTAATTGAGCCGTTATGTGTCCATGATGTGCTTGTGTCCTGCCCTTTTAAGAAAAGGGGAAACAGCGGAGGTGCGTCCTGCGCAGTGAGCAGCAGGAGTTGACACTTCGCGAGCGACAAACGGTGAGTGGAAATGCAAACTTTGAGAGCAGCTAAACCTGCTGCAAGAATGAATGTGGACATGGACATAAACGCGTATTGTTCAGATGCCGTGGGGGAAATACACTAGTGCGCACAGTGCGCCTGTTTTGGTACTATACTAAATATAAAGAATGTGCACATGCACAAGCGGAGTGTGCACTCCCATTTTAGTCAAGGCCAGGCGGAAGGGCAGGTAACGTTAGCTGTGCCGGGTATCTTTGAAGCCATAGGGCATATAGGCGGGTATTGAGTCCAGCGACCACGTCCTTCATAGCTCTGTAGATCTGGCTACTGAGTGTGTTTTTGACAACTGGCTTTGGGTGAGATGTACTCACTGGAAAGGAATGTGGCAGCTAGCTAGCCTGTTGCTAACAAGCCGAGGCTAGCGGCTGTGAAGTGTCGGCGGCCCGTTGAAAGCAGCGCTCAGAGCTAAGCTAGCTAGTTAGCTGGTTAGCTAACAAGCAGCATAACTGTGCCTGACACAGAAGCGTGGATGAAATTGGATTGTTTATGAGCAGATGTCGTCCTCGGTCCATCGGATTAAACACGGTGATGTTAGAAGGATTTATGTGTAAGTAGGCTTATTATTAAAGCCCCGGTATTGGGTGTAATTATCACATAGTAAACGCTAATAAATCAGTAGTTTTTTCCCCGGGACTTTGCATGGCCCAAAGAGATGTGGTCACTGACATTTATAACGCGACTTGACTCGATTTTAAATAATTCATTGTCTCTCATAGTATCGTAAATTTACATGTGTAATTCCTTGTCTTTAGATTAATGAATGAGTCATATGTGTTGACTAACAGAACTCACTAGTTTACATAAACCCTGTAAGCCAGCTCTAAACAGCACATCCATCAGCGGACTGTAATTTTATCAACTCTTCAGCTACACCATACATGATTTTTTATTAGGTGATGGTTAAGTGGTGTATTTATTTTTTTGTTTGCTGCATTAGTAGTTTTCTTGTCCATGTTTTGCGAATAGCGCCTAGCTGTAGTCGTATTTTAATCGTTCTTCCAAGTGTCTCTGCGTCTCCCTCCAGTTTCGAGACAGCATGTTGACCCCACTTCCCCATCTGTGTTGCGGTGTTGCTGCTGTCTTCCTAAGCACCAAACAGGAACAGAGACTGAAGGGGGCTATTTTAGTGCCACCTCCTCCTGTTGCATCCCCTCAGCATGTGCCTGTCTTCAACAGAGATCTGGAAAGAGGATGTGGTTACAGGTCAGGGTCTGTGACACAGGGATGCCTCTGACTGGCAGCATTTTTGTCATTTCACATCATTGTCAGAATAACTCTCTTTGCACTTTTGAGTGGCAGCTGCACTTTCACACTGGCTCACAAACCTGTCTCTGAGTTTAGATTAACCCCACCAAGTTGATTTACAGACACCAGAGGATTCATTCTCAATAAAAAATATTATTTTTTTACTGGTTTTCCAGTTGCCAATAGTTTGCAGACTTGACCACGCCTGGCGGTAAAACCAAATAGTTTATTAGCTCTGTTGAAACAAACTAATTATAAACATAAATAGTTAGTTACAATGATAGACCTCCCTTTTTAATGAACAGTAATTTATTTATTTTATTTATTATATTTAGACTATTAAGTATTCATATAGGATCCATCGCTGATAAGATGAAGAAAGAGCAAGGTGTTATTTTAAGAACATAATATTTACATGCTTTCACATACGACAGCTTGTGCACTCGCATACAGAGAAGCATGCCAGTGACTCAAGTTTGGAAGTTAACCTCGTTGTTACACATAGTAGTTACAATATCCACTAACGTATTGAATAGAAGTTTATATTGAAAATGTAACTACAAAACTGCAGACTTCACATTTACATGGAGGATATGATGAATTTTCAAATTGGAAAGACCTCAACATTTTAGTTAAACAGCTTTCAACTTTACAACCTGACCTAGTAAGTTAT